CTGCCTGCTGAGCCCTGGGCATGCTGCGGGCCGACAGCCTTTTCCGGGGTCTCCTGCAATGGCTCCTGTGTCAGCTGGGACCAGGAGCCTGCAGGGAGCAGGAGGCAGGAGCTAGGGCTGAGTTGCCGTTGTGTTGCTCTTTCCACTCACTTTCTCTCCAAATGCTGTTTCAGTGGCAGGGAAGGTCTGGTTCTTCCATCAGAACACCTGCTGCAGTATTCTGGTTGTTTCTCTGGCAGAATGGGGCAGTCACAGAACAGAGCCAGGAGGCACCACTTCCTCCCCATATTCTCTCATGCTTTTTAAAATACTTCCCATTGAGCCAGTACAATGGCTCTACTGGCCAGTCCTCCACCTCCTAACACAGCCATCCTGTATGGGCTCTGGTTCGTATCCCAGCTGCTCCACTTTTCCATCTAACTCCTTGTTTGTGGCCTGGGAAAGCAGTCAAGGACAGCCAAAAGCCTTGGGACCCTGCACCCGCGTGGGAGACCCAAAGAAGCTCCTGGCTTCAGATCAGCTCAGTTCTAGCCATGGTGGTCCTTTAGGAAATTTACTAGCAGATGAAAGATCTTTGTCTCTCCTTCTCTCTGTAAATCTGCCTTTCTGATACAATAAATAAATACATTTTTTAAAAAGATTTATTTTATTTTTATTGGAAAGGCAGATATACAGAGAGGAGAGACAGAGAGGAAGATCTTCCGTCCGATGATTCACTCCCCAAGTGAGCGCAACGGCCGATGCTATGCCGATTCGAAGCCAGGAGCCTCTTCCGGGTCTCCCACGCGGGTGCAGGGTCCCAAAGCTTTGGGCCGTCCTCGGCTGCTTTCCCGGGCCACAGACAGGGAGCTGGATGGGAAGCGGGGCCACCGGGATTAGAACTGGCGCCCATATGGGATCCCGGGCGTGCAAGGCGAGGACTTTAACCACTGCGCCATCGTGCCAGGCCCAATAAATAAATACATTTTTTAAATGTTTTGCTTAACTTCCCTGGGCTTGACTCTTGAGACCAAAAGGCCAGCGCCATCCAGTATGCGGTCCCTGCCAAGATCTTCCCATAGGTTTTGTTTTCAGATAAGGACTGGAATTCTGAAGGCCCCTCCGTCACTTTTCTCTGCTCTTTGTTTAAGAATAGCCTTTTCAGGAACCTTGTAAGAGAGTATAGTGTTTTACAGGCCCCTGGGGACAGCATGCTTACTTTACTCATGCGTTTAATCATCCTTTGGCTGTTCTGTGCCTCATGCCAGGCTGGGAGCCCTGTGAGATCACAGGAGTCTGTCTGGTCCATCCTGTACCTCTAGAACCTTGCCTTCTGCCTGGCACCAAAAGGAACCTCCCTGAGTGCTGATGGGCTGTCCTTGGAGGGAAGGAGGACAGTGCTGTGCCTGGTGTGGTACTTGCAGAGAGTCCCTGGGGGTGCCGTGTGTCACAGAGAGCCCAGCGTACACCTGTCAGAATAAACTGGCCTGTACCCTTTAGCAAGTAGAGTTGCCTCAGTAACAAAGGCACGGCTCCATATTAGGAAGTGTATTTGTTATAAGTTATCACTGTAATAGGTGGTAGGAGAACAGCTGGTCATCTGAATGGAGCTGAAAAGTCAGTCATGTGCAAAATGCAGTCTTTGCTTCCAACGTTGTGGAGCATCAGATTAAGTCACCATCTGATGTTCAATTCCTAGCTGTTCCACTTTGGCTCTAACTTCCTTCTGTAACATACTGAAGAAAACGGCGGCATGTGACCTGCCATTATGGGGGACTCAGATGTGGGGAGTTCCAGGTTCCTGGCATCCAGCTGGGCCCTGCCTGAATCAGTGCAGCCACATGGGGAGGGAACCCACAGATTCAAAACCTCGTTGTCTTTCCCTCTGTTTCTATGATTGCCTTTCAAAAAGCGGTTGGGGGGATGTTATTTATTTACTTACAGCACAAAGGAGAGAGAGCTTCTGTCTGCTGGTTCTCTCCCCAAATGACTGCAGTAGCCAGGGCTGGGCCAGACCAAAGCCTTACCTGCGTTGTTTCCTAGACGAGTGCAAGGGCCCAAGGTGTTGGGCCACGTTCTTGTTTGCCAAGAACATTGGCAGGAAGCTGGATTGAAAGAGCGGTACCCATAAGGGATGCCAGCTTTGCAGGCGGCGACTTAACCTGTTACCGCACCATTTCAGTGCCGTAAGTCTTGTTTTTGTTTATCCATTCTTTACATGTTTGTAATCTTGGAATAAAAATTCCTTACTATTAGGGACTCCCTTCATATTTAAAAGCGAAAGATCAGACTGTAAGTCATCTTACTAAAGTCATACACTTTTTTTTTCCTACATTTTCTAGCTAATGCAGTAACACAAGACAAAAAGATTAGATAGGAATGTTGGGAAGGCAAAGGGAAACTTTATTTTCAAATGATAAAGCTATCTGAGAAATCTACTGAATTAGCTTTTGTTTTTTCCCCATTGGACACCTTAGGCTGTTTAGGCTGGTGTAGATAGATGTGGTGCCTGGTGTCAAGACTGGTATAGAAAGATAAGCTGGAAAAGAGAGCCCCTTTCAGAGTAAAACCCAGAAGCACAGAGTCTCATGGAACTGCACTAAGGCATGGGGAGGGCTCCAAATTTCATGTATAAGTGTTACTTTTGGACCTTACTGTTTGATAGATGAATGTAGAGAACCTAAATGAAAAACACAGCAAGACTTAAGATACAGGAACATAATGGAAAGCCTTGAGTGAATGGAAAGAAATATTATGACCCTGGGGACCAAATCTAAGATTTATAATGCTGGAAGGTCTTTGGAGTGGGTGTTTGGCTTAGCAGTTAAAATACTTGCGTGTTATGTCTCAGAACCTGGGTTCCAGCCTGCTCCCACTGCTTGCTGAGTGTGAGTCCTGGGGGGTTGCAGTGACGGCCCCAGGAGCTGGGTCCACCCAGGTGGGAGACATGGGTTGTAAGCCTGATCCAGCCTGGTGTTTGGAGAGCCTGGGGAGTAAGCTAGCAGGTGAGAGCTGTGGGGGTGCCTCTCTAATAATAATAATAATTTCCTGAGTCCCTTGATAAATCTAGAAATGTCACACAGTGCTGGGATATTTGGGCTGAAGCATATAGCAGGTGATTTTGAAATCAAATGAAAATGGCCAAGAAACTACCTGAAGAAGAAATATAATCAGGAGAGGTTTGACTTGCTAGGTATCAAGAGCTTTTATAAAACTAATTAAATGTGTTGTTAATGGCAGAAGAATAGATTGGTCTTTGACATGGAACAGAAGTAGTTAACACTAATAAAATAATTTTTCGAAGATAGTGTCTTCGAAGTCATGTTAAAATCAACCAACTGGCCATACATTCAAAGTCTAAAAGTAATAAAGATTAAAAACGAACCTCTCAAGTCCCTGTGAAAATGCTAGGTACACGTAACAGCCAGTTCTGGCAAAGAACGCAGTTGGAGAGCTCACGCTTCTTAATTTTAAAGTTTACTGCAAAGCTAGTTAAGATAAGCACATAAATTAATGGAATAAAATTGCAACTGGAAGTAAACCCCTGCTCTGAATGGCTGATTGGTTTTTAACAGGGAGACCAGGACAGTTCAACAGGAAAAGAATAGTCAAACTGGAAAGGAATAGTCAAATTGACAAGGAATGAAGTTAAGAGACCTGCTTCATGTCAGATACAAAAATGAATTCAAAATTGTCAGCTAAATTTCTAAGTAAAACAGTTTGAAAATTAAAAATGATTCAAGACCTAAATGTTAGAGCTAAAATTGTTAGGTCTGTTAGAAGAAAACAGAGCTAAATCTCCCTGACCTTGGATTTGGCAAAGGATTTTTAGATATGACATCAAAAGTATGAGCAATTAAAAAACAGATCAGTTGGACTTCAACATTTGAGACCTTTTGTTTCATGGGACACCATTTACAAAGTGAGGAGGGCAAAAAAAAAAAAGTAGAAAAATCTGCTAAATCACCTAAGTAGGGACTTGTCCCAAGAAAATGAAAAGAATTCTTAGAACTGCCTAATAGAAAAGACATGCTGTTTCTAAATGGGCCAAGGTTGTTTCTCGAAAGAAATACAGAAAACCAGTCAACACTTGAAAAAAATGCTTGTCAGTTTTTAGGCACTAAAGAACTACAAATGATGCCACAGTGTGACATAGCTCTTACCTGCACAGGTGAGATACAAAGACGGTAAGCAGTGATGGCTGCACAGCACACTGGTCCCTGGCCGGGATGTGGCGGTGCAGCCACTTGGGAAGACAAGCCCAGCATGATGCCCAGCAGGGCTGAACGCGGCGGGGTACCATGTTGATGCCCAGCAGGGCTGAAGGCGGCGGGGTACCATGTTGATGCTCAGCAGGGCTGAAGGCGGCGGTACCGTGTGACTCCGCAGATCTGCTCCCGGATGTGCACCTGGGAGAAATGCAGACATGTCCATACAAACGTTCATGGCAACATTCTTCATCAATAGCCCCAAAGCGGAAACAAGCTGGGGATCCATCTGTCCGCTCTTGAGGGGAATAGACAAAATGTGCTGTGACCATACGGGGAAATATCAGCATAAAAGCAGTGAAGTGCTGATGACCACACAGATGACCTTTGACCTATCACAGCATCTTGCTAAAGGAAAGACTGAAGTAGAAGAGCCAGATGGGATTCCGTTTATGTGAACTGTCCAGCGTCGGGCACTCCTGAGAGGCGGAAGTAGAGCCACGGCTGCCAGGGGCTGTGGAGGGAGAAAGTTGCTTGCTCTTCGGTGTGGAGTTTCTTGGTGGAGAGAAGTGTCCTGACATTAGACTCATTGATGACGGCTGCCCACGTTTGGGAATATCCTGAAACCACCATGCTGTGCCCTTTAGAAAGAGCGTGTTGTGCTCATTGTCTCTGAGTAAAGGGGTTATCTTCAAATAGGTTCTGAGTAAAGATGGTACACCTAGTTCCTCTCCCTCACGGATCCCCTAAAAAGCACTAGAGTGTGCCTTGGAACACACCTGCCACACCTGCCCGCAGGTTCAGGGAGAATAGGCACACTGAGACCTGGAGTGGGCTGCAGGAGCTGGCTGACCTAGCACCTTCCAAACTGGCGCTGGGAAGCCAAGAACCAGCCAGGGCGCCTCACCAGAGCCGGGGCTTGGCTACACTTGGTGCCTCTCAGAGCAGTGGGAGGCGCGGTGCTGACGTCAGCCACGGCTGGTTCAGAGCTGTTTGAATAGGTCAGAGCCGTAGCACCCCCTCTCTGGGAGCTCCTTGCTCTGTCCTGGGGGACACTCGGCCCTGCCAGGGCCCCTGGCCGTGTGTTAACTGCTCGGGCCACACGGCCTCTGCTCGCTGCGTTTGCTTCTTCGCTCATGCGTCATGTCCGGCAGCCTTGGAGCAGCCTGGACCCTTAAGGGGGAGCACAGGGCTTGAGTTAGGGGTGTACTGTTTGAACAGCAGTTTGTAGGGACACTTTGAGGGAGATTTTAGTAAAACAAGTCAAATTACAGACTAAAGAGTTGGAAGCATACCAAATGTGCCTATTTTGATCATCCTTATTTTAAAACTATAAGGAAGATTGGATAAAAAAGAAATCCTGGGGCAGCAGAGGGATAAAGGTGAGTTAGCTCAGGAGAAACCAGGCCGGTATAGCTGGGCATGTTCAGGTTGTTCCCCAAGGCAGTAAGAGAATGGGGTGGAATTTCAGTGACAGGTGACTTATGGTCTCATTGATGACGGAGCAAGCTGTAAGGCCACCTTGATAAGCCATTTGCATTTCTGGTAGATTTAACCAAAAAGACTATGTGAAGCCAGCAGAACTCGGGGAGCATTTAGGGTTAGTCACTGCACCAAAACTCTGGCGACAACCCTGAAGTCTTACCATCTACCCATGAAAGAAGCGTAAGACCGACCCTAAACCTCACAACAGCTGTTTAAAAAAAAAAATTATATATATATATATATATATAGGTAGGGGGCGGGAGTAGGGAGTATGCAAGGGGGAATGAGTCTAAGGGACTATATCATGAAAAATAAAGAATTAAAATGTTTTGTTTTGTTTTATTGGGAAGCCAGATCAGATTTATGGAGAGAAGGAAAGACAGATCTTTGGTCCAGCCACAGGTTCACTCCCCAAACAGCCAGAGACGGGCAGATCCGAAGCCAGAGGCCAGGAGCTTCTTCCGGGTCTCCTGTGTGGATACAGGGACACAAGGCTTCAGGCCGCCGTCTGCTGCTTTCCTAGGCCATAAGCAGGGAGCTGGATGGGAAGTGGAGCAGCTAGGACAGGAACCGGCGCCCGTATGGGATCCTGGCATTTGCAAACCAGTTGATCCACCTGTACCCTCCCTCTCCTGAACAGTCCTGAGGGGTGTGTGTGTGTGTGTGTGTCCAAGAAGCTGGGGAGAAGAGCATTTCGAGCCATCAGGGGTAGCAGCTTGGTGCTCAGCCTTGCTTAGGAATGAGAGACCTTTTTTAATTTTGTCATTCGTTCTTTCTCCCTATGAATAGTGTTCACTTTGGTTGTTGGGGGTGTGTTGGGGAGGCATATGAAGCTTTACCAACTCAAGGCCCACAAACCCCAGACCTGTGTGTGCGAGGGCAGCTAGCACCGTGGGGGAGGACAGCTGTAGCGAAGTCAAAACACACACACACACACACACACACACACACACACACACACACACACACACACACACACACACACACACACACACACACACACACACACACACACACACACACACACACACACACACACACACACACACACACACACACACACACACACACACACACACACACACACACACACACACACACACACACACACACACACACACACACACACACACCCTCTCCCTCCCCCCCTTCCACTCGCCGTGTCCCTCTAGCACCGAGCTGGGCCTTCACTCCCAAAGCGGGTTTGGGATAGATGTTCCCCAAGGAGTTTTATCTGTTGACAAGAAAAGACTAAACAAATACTAACATTGGGGAGTTAAAAAACTTCAGCCCGATCCCACAGTACACTAGACATGTACTCAGAGCTCCTCACCAGCTCTTTCGAACCCCCAGTTGTATATTTGAGTAGGAACACAGGAATTGCCACACCTCCAAGGAAAGCATTTCATAGTAAAAAATACTAATAACGACTAAACAGAAGAAAAACTTAGAGGAGACAGACTGTACAGGGAGAAGAAGTTCTTTACAGCCATCACTGAGATCCGCAGATAAGAAGGCATCAACACAAAATAAGATCTCGTTTAAAAAAAAAAAAGACATCCTGAAAATTTAGAAAAACTCTTGGATATTAAACAACTTGGTAGCAGAAATGAAAGCTTCTTTGGAAGTACTGGAAGATTAAAAGTATTTGCAAAACATATCAGAGAACCGCCAGCCAACCAGAGAATTGACATCAAAGTTATGTAACAGTTTCAGAAGTAAACAAACAGATGACAAAGTTGTTTTAATCCTAGATCTAAAGATTGTAAATTATCAAAAATCAAAGTGGTCTTGTGAGGACCCAGCAAAAAATGGGTAGAAGTAAACCTGTGAAGTACATTGTTGTGAAAAGTTCACAACTCTGAGCTTGCCTAAAGAAAATTAAACAAAACAGGTCAGATACAAAAGGTGGGAAGCAGGGTGCCTACCGCCACGGCAGCACTGGAAGGCTGGAGGCCAGGAGGGACACGCCATTAAAATTTTGAATGACAGGGCTCGGCGCGGTAGTGTGGTAGCTAAAGTCCTCGCCTTGTGCTCTGGGATCCCATATGGGCGCCGGTTCTAATCTTGGCAGCTCCACTTCCCATCCAGCTCCCTGCTTGTGGCCTGGGAAAGCAGTCGAGGACGGCCCAAAGCCTTGGGACCCTGCACCCGTGTGGGAGACCTGGAGGAGGCTTCGGACTCCTGGCTTCATATTGGCTTAGCTCTGGCCATTGCGGCAGCTTGGGGACTGAATCAGCAGACGAAGATCTTCCTCTCTGTCTCTCCTCCTCTGTATATCTGACTTTCCAGTAAAAATTAAAAAATAAAATGAAATCTTTTTAAAATTGTATGCATTTATCCTCAATGCAGAGTTAGAGATTGTTCCTACGCTGGTTCACTTCCCAGCTGGCTGTAAGTCTAAAGCCAAAGCCAGGCACGTAGAGCTCCGACTAGGTCTGCCACACGGTGACAAGGGCTTAAGCATTCGGGGTTGTCTTCCACTGCTTCTCCAGGCTCGTTAGCAGGGAGTTGGATTGCCAGCAGAGCAGCCGAGGCAGGAGCCAACATTCCCACGGACTGCTGATTTCCTGGCCGTGGTCCGACCTCCTGTCCCCGGGCGCCCCTCTTCTCAGCAGACAACATCTGGAGCGCCTGGGCTCTGGCGGTCCACTGCAGAGACCAGTTGGAGTCCTCCACTCCTGCCCTCAGCTTACACCAGCCCAGGCCGTTGTGGGCATCTGGGGAGTGAATCAGCAGATAGAAGATCTCTCTCTCTCTCACTGATATTCGGCTTTTCAAATAAACGTTGAAAAAATTCAGAATGGTTATTAGAAGTATAAATTGGCAAATAAAATTATGATACATGTTTGCTTTTTAAAGTTATGTAAAGGGGGTCTGATGTGGTAGCCTAGTGGCTAAAGTCCTCACTTTGTATGCACTGGGATCCTATATGGATGTTAGTTCGTGTCCTGTCTGCTCCACTTCCCATCCAGCTCCCTGCCTGTGGCCTGGGGAAAGCAGTCAAGGACGGCCCAAAGCCTTGGGACCCTGCACCCATTTTGGAGACCTAGAAGAGCTCCTGGCTTCGGATCAGCTCAGCTCCAGCTGTTGCAGCCATTGGGGAGTGAGCCAGCAGACAGAAGATCTTCTTTCCGTCTCTCCTTCTCTCTGTATATCTGCCTTTCCAATAAATAAACCTTTAAATAAAGAAAGAAAATTGCATCAGTGTTCACAGGTGTACGTGTGCGTGCCTGTACGCACATGCGGCGGTACCCTGAGGTCGGGATATTTGTCTCTGTTGAGTGCCGGGTTTTTAGCGCTTCTCTCCCCCTCGCCTCCCTCTTTCCCCTGTCTCCCCCTTTCTCTCTCGTCTCTTTTTTTCTTTTCGATATTTCAAGTTTTCATGGATTAAATATGTTTTTTCTTTTAAGGGAGTTACTGTAAAAGGCAAAATACTTTTAAATGCCTAATAAGCTTTAGACATTTTTCTTATTTTTTTTATTTCTTTAAAGATGTTATTTAATTGAAAGGCAGAAATAAAGAGAGGAAGACACGGAAAGACCTTCCGCCGGAGGGTTTATTTCCCGAGCACCTGCAACTGCTGAGGTTGGGCGAGGCTGAAGCCAGGAGCCTGGAACTCCCTCAGATCTCCTAGAGGGGTGACAGGGCTCAGGTGCTTGGGCCATCCTCTGCCGCTTTTCCCAGGCACATTAGTGTGGAGCAGCTGGGGTTCAAACTGGTGTTCATGTAGGAAGCCAGCACTGCAATTGACAGCTAACCCACTGTGCCACGAAGGTAAGGTTTAGACTTGAGGGCAAAGTTTCATCAAGCTAGGAGGGAGGGAGACCTTCCATTTGAGCAATGTGGCCATGTGTCTGTATGGTCCTTCTCACGGTCCGAGCTGTCCTGGTGAAATGAACTTTAAAATCTTTCTATTTGAATCGGGAAAGTCTGAAGAGTCCGAATGTGCAGAGTGAGCAAGTGGCCGCCTGGCTGCCTCGGTGCAGTGCTGGCTGGAGGAAGGTTGGCACCCCTTCGAGGGGCTGCCTCGGTGCAGTGCTGGCTGGGGAAGACTGGCACCCCTTCGAGGGGCTGCCTGGCAGTCTGAGTGACCTGGAGGGAGTCCTGCAGTTTAAAAGGGACGTCAGGGAAAACTGAGGAAATCCAGGTAAGATTCAGACATTGGAGTGTGTTGTGTTGGTCCTTTAACTGAGGTGATAGGAAGCGGGGAGACAGGGGAAGGGACATGTGGGTTGTCTGTGTTTTCACAGGCGCCCTGAAATCTTGTAAAAGTTGTGAATATGCACTTTTAGGATACAAAGTGCTCGTAAGGTACTCTCCCGGGAGGGAGGTAACGACTCTTGACTCAAGCTGGGAGTCATCAGAAGTTACGTGAGTGCCAGTAGAGTGGTGGGAATGCAGAGGGCTCTGGTTAGAACTGTGTGGCACACCCCACGGTCTGCATGGACACCCTCCCCTCACTGCTGGCCTCCCGACGGCCAACAGCTCCCCTGGTGCCACGGCTTGCTCGGATCAAACAGGGCGGCCCAGTTCATGCGAAGAGAACGTCGCGGTGTGAGTGGGAGAAGGCAGGAGCCCAGGTTGTTCCTGGTTCTCACATGGACAGATGCCGTGACCCAGGACTGGCCACACCTCTCGATCTGGTCCCTCATTTCCAAAAAACGAGATGATTGCACTGGGCCGAGAGGAAGTTTTCTGTGGCAGTTTACTGTTCTAAAAATACTGTGATTCTTTTCTTTTTTTAAGATTTATTTTTGAGAAGCAGACTTACCAGAAAGACTGAGAGAGAGATCTTCCATCCTCTGGTCTACTCCCCAAGTGGCCGCTGTGGCCAGAGCTGAGCCAGTCCAAAGCCAGAAGCCAGGAACCTGGGGCCCAAGGACTTACCAATCTTCCATGTTCTCCCAGGCCATAAGCAGAGAGCCAGATCAGACCTGGAGAGCAGCTAGGACTAGAACCAGTGCCCATATGGGATGCCAGTGCTTGCAGGGAAAGGATTAGCCAGTTGAGACATTGCGCCAGCCCAAACACTGTGATTCTTAAGATACACAAACAATAGAATCCATATTCCTGATTTCTAGCCCCTGATTGTGCTGAATTTGAAGGTGGAGTCATTCTAAAGACTTCCGGAAACATCTTTGTAGGTCCTGCCTTCCTCCGCAGGCTCTTGGCCTGGAGATTCTTTTTTAGATTGACTGGAGGGACCCTCCATTTTATGGGCCCCTGGGCAGGCTGTATTCTGAGCTGGGTCCAGACCCAGGCCGGACAGTGGGCAGTACCACCTGCTCCACTGCCTCTCCGTACCCAGCAGCTGCAGTGTCTGTTTTGGGCAAGGCCCCTGGGGTTCCAGGAACAAAGGGACTTCTCTCTCCTGCAAACTTTCTCCTTTAGGTCTGAGAAAGGGAAGAGCCCCCTCCCTCCCCGCAGTAATTGTATAGCCAGAGATGATTTGTTTACAAGAAGCCACGTGAATCAGCCAGCCCTGCAAGGGTTAACGCTCCTAAATTACGGGGCTGGGTTAACAATAAACAGGATGTCCTCCAGAAATTAAATTTAAACCTCCGTGACTCAGGCAGGCCCGTCCCCTCAACGGATCCTTGCGATCCGTCTGGGGTTATTATCGGTGGTTAATTATACCGTTGGGTTTAGCACCAGAGCTGGTCACTTCTGGGCCAGATGAGAGCAGACTGGAGCTCTTGCCCCGCTTCCTGCGAGCTGTCAGGATAGCCCTGTGGTGGCTTCCCTGCCCTGGCTGTAGTGGCTTCCTTGAGGAAGCTTCGAAATGATCTAATTTAACCCTTTCATCCTACAGAGTAGGAAATTAAGCCCCAGTGCAGCAGTTAGCAGTCCGCGGGCAGCCTGCTTCTCAGCGGCAGAGGCTGGGCTGAGGGCTCGGCCCGAGACGCCTAGGCCGCGACCTGGCTTCTGTTTGGCCAAGCCGCCCTCCGTGACTGAGTGGGGAGTCTGCACACAGAGCGGCACTGTCGGTTCAAGGCAGAAGTCTTCTCGTGGGCCTTTTAGGTTGTGTCTGTCTTCCCAGGGATGTATCCTGGCCCCGGCCGGCATCGATGGCTCTCTGAGGGTTGTGATTTCTCCCCGGCCTGCCCCTCCGTGGGCAGGCAGAAAAAGCACCCCACACAGGCAACCACGATTTCCTAGTGAGATTCTGCTTAAAGGTGTGTTTTTCAAGGCTGACGGCTCTTACAGCGGGTCTGTGGTTCCCGATGCCGCGGCCCTGCCAGACGCAAGGTTCAGGGTGCAGCCTTTGGGGGGTCTACCCTTTGCTGTCAGCCTCACCTTCTCAGGGCGTGTAAAGTGCAGACTGTGGGCAGAAACGGGCTCGGGTCAGAAGCCTGCCATCCAGTCCTGCCTCTGTCACAGCCCAGAGGATGGCCCTCCTGGCACTGCAGCTGCGTGCCCACAGCCTGTCAGCTGCCAGGGCACAGGGAGAAGCTGCAATGTGTCCTTCGTTTTCCATCCCCCACCCACGCCCCCGTTCTCACAATGTCCCTCTTTGTCTCTTTCGTAGGATTCCTTTCAAGATCGGGCAGCCCAAGAAGCAGATTGTCCCCAAAACAGTAAGTAACCCTGCTCTTGCCCTCAGAGATGGGGCACTGTTTCATGGTTCGTACAGAACCAGGGCTTTACCGCAGCACGTCTTGGGGCTGGGAGGAAAGTAGGCTGGGGGCATCGTTCGGCATCGTGCAGGCCTGGAGCCTGTTGGCAGAGGCCTCCCAGCTGGGACCCTCCCTTGGGCCAGCCTGGCCTCTTCCCCAAGCTCACGGCGGGGTGCAGGGTGAGAGGAGGACTTACCAAGGTGTGGAGGGCAGCACTTCTGCTGAGCATCCATTGCCCAGAAAGTTCCAGAAACACTAGAGCCCACCAGACAAGCCCAGGGCTTTACTCTGAGCATCTTTGCTGCCTAGAAGACCAGGTGGCTTCCCCTCTCTCTGCGCTGCCAGCCTGTGCTACCAGCTGGGCTCCCGAGGCCCTCGGTGGGAGGGCCTGTCTGACTGCCACTCCATGCAGCCTCCTAGCCCTTATCCTTATTTTACCCAGAAAGCAGCAGAGGGGAAGAGTCACAGGTTCTTAGAGAGAGCTGGACTCCCACGGGGACCGTCCAGCCAGCCCTGTTGACGCTCTCGGACTGCGATGAGCCTGTTCTGGTGTGAGTGGAAGTGCACGGGTTGGGCTTTGGGCCAGTATTCTTGCCATAGTGCTTTATGGGTGCTGTCTGCAGGGTTGGAGGGTCGTAGCCCAGTGTAGCCTCTTCAGCACCCTAACCTGCAGAGCTGAGCGTGTCTCTTGCTTCTGACGTGGAAGTCTCTCGCAGTAGGGCCTGTCTCACGTGGCAGCCCAGAAACCCAGCGCTTGCACTTTGCACGGGCGCTGGTCCCAGCCCTCCCTGGCGGTTTTCCCAGTTTTAGGCCGACTTCTCCCCTCCTTGGCTCAGTTCTCAATCGTAGGGAAGATACTGTTTCAGTTTGGCTGGAAGTGGGGCACACACCTGACCAGAGCTTTTCATCTTTGGGAAATCCAAAGGAAGTGGGTCTGATTTGAAAGAGTTCGCTCCCGTGGCAGAGGCCAAGCATCTTCAGCGGCCCAGGGACTCGGTGCTGGCATTACTGTCCAAGCGGGCAGGTGTGGCTGGGGGCCTCCAGGGCTTAATCCACTGCAGATCTGAAAGCAAAACGGTTTTGAAAAGGCTCGTTCATCCCGCTCCCAACACCCCAGCCTCTGGAAGTAGCCTTGGTTCTCCACAGAGAAGGAAACGCGAGGGTGCAGCCTCCAGCTCCTTCGCCTCATTGGCTTGTGGAAGCCCCTCTCCCCTGAGGATAGGACTGAGAGGAAAGGCAGGTTCACGCAAGGCTTCCCTGTTATCCCCCCGACTCACCCGTCGGCCTGGAGATGAACCTCTGTCCAGAGGTTCCAGAGGCCAGGTTTGGGAGGCACACGTGACCCTGGGGAATTCCTTGTCTCTAGGAGCTTTGGTCTCTTCTTGATGAGATGACCACAGGTACACGTGGTCTCCCGTGGGGAAAACGTCAGCTGCCGTCCAGGAGGCAAGTGGGTTCAGCTCTGTGTAAGCCATCAGGGATCGGCCTGTCCTGGGCAGCTCCATCCTCGGAGCTGTGATGTGGGGAGGCTGTGCCTTTGATCTCGCACGCGGAGCTGGAGCCGAGGGGCAGCCTGGAATAGAGTTAGACGCATCCCCAGCTGCGGCTCCTCACCTCCCCCGTGAAGTGTAATAAGTACAGCAAGACCCTGCTGCCTTGGAGCCTCGGGCTCCACCCCAAGCCCACTTTCCTGGTCCCCAAGTCAGGCCTGGGCTGTGCGGCTGTCTCCCTATGTTCTGCCCACCCCCCCACTCCCCGGCCCCAGCACAATGGTGACGCACTCTTCTTGTTCTTGCCCAAGAACTCTCAGGCAGGGGAACAGATGTGGCCGCCTGGATTATTGGAAGTCACAGCACCCCTGTCATGGGAAGAATGCTCGTGTTATCTTCAGGGAGTTTCAGGAGGGTTCTGGCTCGAGGCACCACCTGGACACAAAGGGAGCATTGTGTGTTTGCCCTCACCACTCTTCCTGTGCCCAGGTTTACTCGGGCACACCACTCCTGCTGCTATGGTTTGAGCTGGAATGGCCTGTGCTCCCACTGGAGCACCGAGGGAAGACCCAGAGGCTCCTCGACCTCCTGTTCCTGATCCCATGGGCCCAGAAAGTGGGCAGTACAGCAAGAAGCCACTCCTCCCTGCATCTGTCGGGGAGGGTGGAGGAGCTCTCTCCCCAGCCCTGCTCACCCTGCCACGGGGTCTGCAAGGCCAGGGCCAGCCTGGGTCTGATGCATAAAGGAAAGCAGGCACCAGGGTCCCTGGCTACGTAGTACCCTCTGACTCCTCACAGAAAGGATTCCTTGAGCCTCCTATTTTGAGAAGGATCCCATGTGGGCATCCGCAAAGGGGAGACAGCCATCCGCAGGGGCACCCCTGAAGAGCAGTTCTCCGAACCCTCCCTGTGCCTTAGCTCTGCTCCTGGTCTACCACCTGTCGCCCTTCTCGCTTTGCAATGAGCAGAAGCTGGAGTGAGAACTCAGCCTGCGTTCATTTCACCTGCACTGAGCTCCTGCTGTGTGCCAGGCCCTGACCTAGACAGTGGGCAGCACACCCTTTGCCTCCCATCCGAGTTCGGAGAAGGCAGAGGGCAAGCTGAGGGTAGTCTGGCTGTGCTCCCCTGGCCAGCCTGGCCTGCGCCCCTGACCATCCTTGCACATGTGTTTACACTTGCCTTGTTGATTGGGCTCCAGCTGCCTTTTTTGGCAGGGACATCAAGCAAAGATGTTCAGATCTCTCCTTGGCTCTTTCCCTTGGAGTCCATATAGCTTGGAATGCGGCTCCAGTGTGTCCCTTTGTTCCCTTGGCCATTAACTGAGGGTTTGGAATTCTGGAGGAGGTGGCCACTGGGACCAGTGAGCTGTGGCGCGAGCTGCACCTGGCTGCCGGAAGCAGGGCAGGCGAAAGGTTGGGAACATGTGCCTGAGGCCGTTGGATGGCTTCGAGCGCATGGAGCGCCTGCTGCCCACCATCAGCATGAGACCCTGAGAGCTTCTGCTCTCAGAGCGTGATCCAACCTAGCTGGAAAGCCAAGGTCCCTCTCTCTGCAAGTCCGAGCAGTCCCCAGCCAGGAGCCCAGGTGTTCTCTGCCCGCCCACGCATTGCAGCACACTAAGGGATTGCAAAAGCAGAGACAGAGCGCCAGAGGCTGCCCCTGGGCTTGGGCACTGGCTCCTGCCTCCCCTCCCAGACAGTTCCCGCTCGGAGTCTCTGCCGAAGCTTGACCAAGGAATACTTAGCTACTTTTTGGAAATAGGTACTTTCATGTAGAAAGGCCCTGCCATTCGGATCTCTCTGTCTCTCTTCTCTCTCTCTCTCTCTCTCTGTCAGAGGCGAGAAAGAGACTTGGCCAGCAGGAGGGAGCAGTGACGGTGTGACCTGACCAGGGTCTTCCGTGCTTCCAGCTTCCACTCCACTCCACCAGCAGGCCACCAGCCGCATGCGTGCCCCTGGACAGCAGGTTGCATCTGCTGCAGGGAGCAGGAAGGGAATAAGGAGCTGAGTCCATGCTCGGGTCGGGGGAGACTGGCATCATGCCTTTAGTCTTCAAGCCACCGGGGCCACCAGAGTCACTCCACTGTGTGAGTCACCTGGAGCCTGCCTGGGCATCCCGTAGGACAGGAGAATCGAGTGAGGCTTTGTGCTATCAGGCGAGGGAGCTGCTGGCCTAGCCCTTGGTGCCTTTATCCCACATTGGGATGTCCTGATTCTTTTCCTGCTCTTGCCAGAGTCAGTTCCAGCGTCTTGCCAGAGCAGGAGACTCAAGAAGGCCACTGTAATGATTGGGGTCCTGCCGCCCCCGTGGGAGGCTGGATTGACACTGCACCTTGAGTTCTAGCCCAGCTCCAGCCGTCACAGGCATTTGGGAACTGAATGAACCATCAGATGGGGGGGGGGGGAGAGTTGCTCACTCTTTGCTAATTTAAAATAAAACAAAAAGTCCAGGCTTGATCTGCCTCTGCTCGTTGCACTGCGGAGAAGAGGCTAGACTGACACCCAGGTGCAGCCCGGGCGGAGGCCCAGGCAGGGCCCCTTCTCTCCAAAACAGGACCTCCCACCTGCAGCAGGGGGCATCGTCAGCCCACACCAAACCCAGCAGCAGGCAGGTGTGCGGCTGTGAGGACACCCTAAGCCGACAGGCGGGCCCACCTGCCCGGGTCTCCCAGCCCCGTGCCACAGACCTCTGTGCCCTTCCGCCTCCCTGGGTGGGTCTCAGTCCATGCAGAGCCCCTTGGCTGCCCCCAGGGGAAAAGCGGGGGTGCCAAGAAGCAGGCACCCGGCTTGGCGCCTCGTTCCCCGCGGCAGCAAAGAAGCAGAGCCACAATGCGCCGCTACTTGCCTGGCCAGCCCGTCTGGGAGGAGAGTCCCGCTTCCTCAATCAGACACTTCATTAACTTGGGAACACAGGGGCGCTGTGTCGTTAGTGATGTGCTGGTGCTTGTAGGGACGGAGGGGGGGACGGGGGGGGCAGGGTGTGGAGGGAGTTTCAGGTGGCTGGGAGATTTTTTCCATTGTGCTGTCATTTCTCTGATGATTGAGTTAAGCTTTTTTTTTTTTTTTTTTTTGCAGGTGGAGAGAGACTTTGAAAGAGAGTATGGAAAACTGCAACAGTGAGTGTCAAACCCCAGAAACGTAGGGCGGGAGCCTGGGCAGAGCGCCGGCCTCCTGCCAGGTCTCACTTCCCCTCTCCCCCACCCTACCCTACCCTGACCCACCGCATCTCCCTATGGCGCAAGCAGTGGGTTCCCCTTAGCCTCAGTGGTACCCCAGAGAGCCAAGGGCAGCTCGGACCATAACTCTGAACCCTGGTGTGCAGCCACCCACATGAGAGTGGTAGCATTTCGCTGCTTGGCCCCATGCAGAACTGGTCTGGCACTGTGGCCAGAGGGGAGAGTCCCCAGGGAGATAAAGGGTACCTCTCCTTCCTGGTGGACACCCCAGAGCATCTGCTTACCTTGGGGAGAGGTTTTGAAATAAGGAGAGAGGTTATTCAGTGAGGCCCGGGGTGCCCAGGCTTGTCCCCTGCCTTGCAGGCTGGAGGAGCAGACCAAGAAGCTGCAGAAGGACATGAAGAAGAGCACGGATGCCGACCTGGGTAAGTACCACCTGCCCAGCATCCAGCACAAGGCGGGGAAGGGGTGAGGGTGGGGGACCTTCCTCCTGTAGTCCTCTCAGAGCTGGCTGAAGTCCCTCCCACTGATGGGGAGACCCTCCAGTCCCCATGGAGTTCTGAACAGATGCCAGGCCTTCTAGGGTCCCGCTGAGGGTGGCACCCACAGTCTGTGGCAGCTCGAGCTTTTTCGTCTTTGTTAATACCCAGGCCATCCATCAGCTCAGGCTGCCCCAAGGAAAAAGGCAGCTCATTCTGACCTGGTACAAATGGTAATCCCTGGGCCGGGGGTGTAGCACAGTGGTAAGTTGCTGCTTAATGTGCCTGCATGGGTATCAGAGGACCTGGGTTCTAGTTCCGGCATCTGTTTCCAGTTTCAGCTCCTTGCTAGTGCAGACGCTGGGAAGCAGCGGTGATAACCAGCCATGTAGGAGACTCAGGTTGAGTTGCTGGTTCCCAGTGTCTGCCTAGCCCAGCCCCAGAGGAACCAGCAGCTGGGAGATGTCTCTCTCTGCCTTTCCCTGTCCCAGGCCTGGCGGGACCTGGTGGCAGTAACTGAAGCGGCTGTGTGTGTAAGCAAGAGCTGAGTTAGAGCATAGGGCAGTGTCTTGGGTGCTGGAGGGTCTGTGTGCAAGTGCCAGCGGTGCCTAGGAATAGCCAGAAGCCCAGGACAGCCGTGTGGGCTAAGAAAGCTTATTTGGGATGAGGGGGGAGCAGGCCCAGGAGCCCCGTGACAAAGGCAGCTCTGACATCAGGAGCACTGAGAGCCTTAACTCCTGTGTGCTGTAGGGAGAGGCAGTGAGCGTCTGGGACAGGAAGGGCCCTAGCCCCCTTTTTCCCCAGCCCAGAACACTAGACACTAAAACCGGAAGTCAGCCGCTGGCTCCAGCACTGCTGAGCTCTCGGTGCCTTCCTCCAAGAGACATGGGCAGCCCTCCCTAGTGCCCACCCTGCTGGCCAGCTGGAGGGTGAAGCGAGGTTGGTTCACACAGAGCACTTGAACTGTCAGTGTCTAGGCACAGGACACCCTCAGGGCCACCTCCTCTTGTTGCCAGCCATCGCTGTCGGTTGGCAGCAGCAGCCAGGATCCTTAGGTCTTGACCTTGACCTTGGCCCACGTGACCCATCTGCCGTCACTCAGCACCAGCTGACCGAGACGTGACTGCCTTGCTGAGGGCATGTGCTGTGTGCAGGAACTGTGCAGATTCCGTCAGAGAAGGGGTGCCTCGCCCACAGGCTGGCAGGGTCCATGCACACTAACCCTGAGTGCTCGGGATGGGCAGTGGCAGGATGGCATGCTGTGTTATGGTTCTGAAGCAAAGGCCAGAGGGCCGCCCCCTCCATCACCTCGGCTAAACTTGAGGTTTGCGGGGCACATGAGATGTCTGCCAGCTAAAAGACACACAAGCCCCTCTTCTCCGAGGGTGACCCCTATCTCAGAGAAACCTGTCCCTGGTGTTCCCAGTAACCAGGGAGCAGCAAACAGGAGTCCTCCCTGGGGGCCCTGGCCCAATCTCAGTGTTGCTGTGGCTGCCTCAGGAGCAAGTCCAAGTGCTGAGCACAAGTGCAGCCTCCAGGTGTCACCCCTTAGCAGAAGTGGGAGGCCCCCCTGGCCCCCTCTGGCGCCACACAGTGGAGGAGGAGCGCTGTGCACAGAGGCAGTGGTCGGGCTCTCCCCCAGGCAGTCAGGGTGCAGAGAAGGCCTTGGGAGCCAGCAACAACACACATGCCCTCCTGGGGGCAGCAGTGCGCTGTAGCCACCTGGGGTGCCTGCCAACCGACCTGGGCACAGCACCGCCATTGTCTCCCAGGTTGGCCTTGGTGGTATCAGGTGTGAGGTACCTGGACTGCATCTTCCTTGCTCATCCCCACAGCCTTTCTGGTCAGGCTTTGGCTGTGGCCGTGACTGACCCTCCCTCTCTTCCTGCCTGTGTTTGCACACCACAGTGGCATTGTTAAAGAACACGAGAGGTCAAGGTTGGCTGTTTCCGAAAGGTGTCGCTTCGGAGCCAGGGGGCATGTTAGGAGTGGGTGTGGGGGCTCATGTGGCTCTGATCACTTAGCTTTTCATCAGAGGACTCCAGGCTGCACAGGTGACTCCTGGGCAGTGAGTGTGTGAGCCAGTAGTTTCTCTGCTGCTGCCGCACGCCTGAGACCCTAAATCGGGGCGGGCAGGGCTCAGTACCTGTAGAACTTTGGGTTCCCCTAACCCCAACTCAGCTCTCAGCTCGGCAGGGTGGTGGTGGTGGGCGCAGGGGCTTCCCCTGCAGAGGAGCTGGAAGGAGGCCTTTTCCTGGGCTCCCTGACAGGGCCTGGAATCCCCAGCTGTTGTTCCAGGAGGGACCCTGCTTTCGGAATTGTCTCGTAGTTGGGCCTTTGCTCCCCTGCTGGCTTCTCTGCTAGCAGACGGCAAGCTGGGCAAGCTGGGCAAGCTGGGCAAGCTGGGCCAGCCGTCCCTCAATGGCGGTGGCACTGGGCTCAGCTCTGCACACTCGGGGGAGGATGCCCAGGGCCCCAGGGTCGGGCTGTTGCTTTCACTCCGTTCCGGCACACACAGGAGCCCCGGGAAGGGAAAGTGGGGTGTAAGCCTTTCCCCCCAGCCTCCTGCTGTGCAGACTTGGCCTCTCCCCGTCTTGGATGAGGGAGAGGAATCACCTGAAGGCGTTATTCAGGAACATTTCTGGCTTGGCTTTTCCCTGAGTTACGCTGTGATCATTTCACAGTCACGTCAGGTTCCACCCAACAGGGGCAAGTGTTCGGCACCCCAGCTAAAGTGCTGCTCGGGACACCCCATCTCACAGCATAGTGCCTGATTCTGGTTCCCGCTCGTGCCCTGGGAGGCGGTGGTGAGGACGGGAGTGGTTGAGTTCCTGTCTCCCTCCCCCCCCCCCCCCGTGAGAGACTTGGACCAGCGTTAGCCTAGCCCAGCCCTATCTGAGCAGACATTTGGGGAGAGAGCCAAAGGGTGGGTGTTTTCTCTAGCTGTCTCTCTCTCTCCCCTCACCTTTCAAATTAAAAAAAAATTAAAACACATGCAATATTGGTTCCTAAACCTGCCAAGTTTAGGACTTTTTTTTTTTAAAGATTTATTTATTTTTATTACGAAGTCTGATATGCAGAGAGGAGGAGAGAGAGAGAGGAAGCTCTTCCGTTTGTTGATTCACTCCCCAAGTGGCCCCAATGGCCGGTGCTGTGCCGATCTGAAGCCAGGAACCAGGAACTTCCTCCAGGTCTCCCACGTGAGTGCAGGGTCCCCAGGCTTTGGGCCGTCCTCGACTGCTTTCTCAGGCCACAAGCTGGCAGCTGGATGGGAAATGGGGCTGCTGGGATTAGAACCAATGCCCACATGGGATCCCAGCGGGTTCAAGGCAAGGACTTTAACCGCTAGGCTACCATGCTGGGCCCAGAACTTTTTTTTTTCGGTGGTCTCTCCTAAATGTGTCCAAGTTTCTGGGAAGTGCTTTTCCAGACTTGTGCATTTTGCCCTTTGAGTGGGCTAACTGGCCTCCCCCCAGGGCTTTGCTGACTTGTGCTAGAGCCTAGGGCTGGGGGACAGGGGACCTCCTTTGGCCCCTGACTCCGAGGGATCCTCAGGGCTGCGTAGAAGCCAAGGCCAGGTGGGCTGTAAGACCCTTATCTTCCCGACAGCCTGGAACTGGGAGTGCTGCAGTTCTCAGTAGCACGTCCTGGCTGTATCAGCAGTGCTGTTTCCTCGGTGCTGCCCACGGCGTGGGCCTTAGCTGTTAAAGCATGGCACATTCGGTTGACGTGCAAGTAGTAAGAAACTCTTTTAATGCCTTGCCCCTCTCCCCACAAGCCGCACCTGGACACGCCCTGAGCCCAGACAGTAGAGTTGAGCCACGCATGCCCTTGCTCCTGCAGGGCAGTGTCTGCACATCCCGGAAGCTTGAACGCCTTGGGCAAGGCCAAGAACTCTGAAGCCATCAGCACTGCCCATCGTGCCTGAGCTGCTGCTGGCTCCCCAGCCAGAAAGGACACAGGGTGGTACCAGGCGGAACCCCTGAGGAGCTGGCATCGTGGCCCAGCGGGTTAAGCCACTGCTTGCAACACCAGCATCCGGTATCCCATGTGAGAGACCTAGGGAGGGTTCCTAGCTGCAGCTTGGACCAGCCTTGCCTGTTGCCGTCCTCTGGGAAGTGAGACAGCAGATAGAGGACCCCTAGCTCTCTCTTCTCTCTCACTGCCTTTCAAATCTGTCTTGAAAGGAAAAAGAAAAATAAGAAAAAGTAGATTTCAGTTGAGCCTCGTGGGACCTGTCTGCCCGTTTCCCTCAGGCCAGGCCACATTCCAACGGGACAGGGAAGCGAGATGCCCAGGTTCAAGTCCCGGCTCAGGCCTTGGAGCTGTGTCACCTTTGGAGACATGTATTAGAGCGTCAAGTGTCACCCGTATAAATACGGAACCCAGTGCTCTTTGGTCGCTTGAACTCTGGCTGAAATAACGGATAAAAGGCAAGGGCTGACAGGCAAGAGGGGGACTGCCAGCTAGTGGCAGCTTCCCAGTCCTTGTCTTGCCCAGCTGTTGAGGCCTACATTGTTACAGATGAAGTTCTGGAGTTGAGGAAGGAGGCAGGCAGGATTCTGTGTTTGGTGTGTACAGGTGCATCTTAGGAGAAAGTGCGTTTCCCATGTTCTTCTACCACCAGCTGTCATTGAATGATGGGCAGATGGGCAAGCCATGGCTGCCAGTCCTTTTTTTTTTTTGCCAATAAAGCTTTATGGAGATACAGCCACAGCCATTCCTTCTGTGGGCACTGGCTGTTTGCACAGCGCCAGGCAGAGCTAAGACAGCCCCGCCAGGGTTCATCAGAGCAGCCTGGACTGCCGTGTCAGCTGGACTGCTGTGCCCTTGGTGGGGGGAGTTCCTGTCACCCCCAGTGCCTTGAGGTCTCTTTATGGGTGGAGTCGAACATTGGTGCCTGAAATAGGAATCTCCCAGCTTCCCACCCCATGATCCTAATAGAACCCCAGAGTCTGGTAAGTTAAATCACAGCAACACAGAAGCGTTCCCAGAGCAGTGGGAGATGGCCCCGAGAGCAGACACTAAGCTTGCCCGTCACGAAGAGGCTGTGTGTTCCCAGCCTCACCAAGCTCTGACTTCTCCCAGCCATGTCCAAGTCAGCCGTGAAGATCTCCCTGGACCTCCTCTCCAACCCCCTCTGCGAGCAAGACCAGGACTTTCTGAACATGGTGACAGCCCTGGACACGGCGATGAAGCGGATGGATGCTTTCAACCAGGAAAAGGTGACTGGTCCCTGAGTACCCGCTCAGCCCTCCCTGTCCAGTCCTGGCCTCAGAGGGGCCGTAGGAACACAGGCGCGCTTTGGGCTTCCTCAGCCCTTCAAGTGCTGTGTGTCCCAGCCTCGTGCCCCGCTCTTCCCAAACTGATCAGCTTTGGCCCTTGTGGCTTCCTGTGGCTCCCATGAGGCCACGAGGGACAGTCATGGCATCTGGGCTCTCTGGAGTCTGTCCCACCTCCATCAGCCCTGCCCACTGAGCAAGGCCCTGGTAGGCCTTTGGTGCCCAGCAGCCAGCAGAACCAGGCTTGCCCTGGGACAAGGACTTCCTGCCTCACGGCCTCACTTCCTGCCCGGGGCTCTCCAGGGAACCCTAACAGGGCTCCTTTCTCCCCAGGAACTTGGCACAACGCTCTTTCAGGAAGAATCTGGCTGCCCCTGGGTGGGCTTTTTGTTTGTTTTCCCCTCAATATTTGTTTATTTTATTGGAAAGACAGAGCTTCTCTCTACCGGTTTATTCCCCTAAATGTCCTCAACAGGCAGAGCTAGGCCAGGCCAAAGCCAGAAGCCTTCAACTCCCTCCAGATCTCCCACGTGGGTTCAGGGTTCCAAGTACTTGAGCCATCTGCTTCCTCCCTGGGTGCATTGGCGAGATCAGATTGGAGTAGCCAGGACTCAGACCAGCACTCTGATGTCAGATGCAGGTGTCCAAGGCAGAGGCTGAGCCACACCGCCTGCTCCTTTCCCCCCGTTTTGATGTCATCTGTTCTTGATTTTGACAGGTGAACCAGATCCAGAAGACTGTGATTGAACCCTTAAAAAAGTGAGTAATCCACGGGGACCACACATTTTCAGCAGCCTGGCCCCAGCACCCGTTGGGGTCTGACAGGGACACTTCACAGGGAGGCCAGCTGGTCACCTGCAGTAGAAACCCCAGGGCTGATGAGTCCAGCAGGACCCAGGTCCCCTTGGCCACCCGGGACGTGATGCATGGTGGCACAGGGACTGGCAGTGCCCTCTACCAGCACTGGACTGTGCTACTGCTAGTCGCTTGGACGCTGTGCCCTCTAGCTTCTGGCTAGCTCGAGCTCACTGAGGTCTTGGCTGGCCCTCAGCGGACATGAGCAAAGGCCTTTCATCTCACAGCCGGCTCGGGAGTACAGCTGCCTGCTGCGCTTGGCTCTGGACGCGCGGGGGTGGCCGCACATGGAGAAGGGTGCGGCAAGGCCCAAGGCCCTGCCAGGATAAGGTCCGCCAACTGCCGACCGGTCGGGGTCAGGAATTCTTCTGTGAGACTCACCTGGTGTCGGACAGGCCCCTGGTCGGCAATCAGACAGGCCCTGTTGCCTGGGTTCCTGAGGGGATGAAGGGTGTGGGGGACAGGTCGGAGCCGGCCTTGAAGCTCCAACCTACTTCATCTCCTTCCCTGGCCTCTCCCAGGCGTTCTGACCTAGAAAGGCGCCCGCCCAGCCCAGCAGCTGTACTTTATTACCCCCTCCGCGGTGGTCCCTGGCAGCTCCTCACTGGTCCGGGATGCAGGCTCCGCTTAATTATCATTAGGCCTGGCCCGGGGCCCGGAGGGGAATGAGAGCGGGTTTTTGATCCTCCAGTCTGGTCCCTAGGGTTTGGAGTTGTCGAGAGCCATCCGCTCCCTTTTTAGGACCTGGGGCGGGAGGCGGGGGCTGCAGCAAATGGCCCAGCTAGCCTCGGGGAGCCCCTGATCTCCCAGGCCCGTGGGCTGAGCCCTGACCAGAGGCCGCCAACCATGGGGAGGATTTCTCTGCTGTGCCCAGATTTCCCACCACTCCTGCCTTGCTCACTGGGGACCTGGGTGCTTGCAATCGGCCCTCCTGGCCTCCTGGGCAGATGGCTCAGAGCTGAGTGGGAAGGACACAGAACAGAACCAGCCTGCCCACTGGGAGCTCTTCTGTGCCAGGATCAGCTTGGGAGGTGAGGCACAGGTCCCAGGTTGTACAGAAGCTGCCCTTGCACCCAGGGTGGGGGACACTGGCTCTGAACTAGGGAGTGGACTCCCTGTCTAGATTTCACAACCAGTGAGGCGGTTTTGAAATTGATCCCTGGCTCCACTAGCCAAGAGGAGAGAAACCTCAGCGGCAATGGCAGCCCACTGCCACCTGCCAGGAAGGGGTGGGCGTGGCTGGGGCCAATGCGGCACCAGCTCCCCGCAGATCCGCTGACCTCCGCCTGAGCCCCGGCCTGCCTAGCTGCCCCGGCTGGCTTCTCCCCCGAACCCGACCACATGAAGCCACACGGCCTGTCGCCTCCTCCCCATTTGCTTCCTCGTGCCAAGAGTGAAGCTTCCAGGGACCCCAGCACCGGAAACAGGAAACTGCAGCTTTCCTGTGCTCTGAAGCAGATCACGGCCACATGGCCACGCTGCCGCCCCCAGCCTCCCCCAGGGTTCAGCCTCCTAATCCCCCAACCCCTAGCTCCCGTCCACACGGGATGCTTTCAATTTCCCTTTCCTGGTGGGTGGAAGATACCGGCCGCGGGGGTGCAGGGCGAGGAATGGCAGGCATCCCCGCTGGCCCGGCTGCTCTGGCCCACCTCCCATCCCGGCCAGCCTCTTCCCTCCCTCCCAACCATTCCCCTCCTCCCCAGGGAAGTTAGCTTGGTGTGTCAATTCTGAGGTCAAGCAAGAAATGGATGAGCCCCCTGAGGGTGCCCTGCCGGGCCCCAGCCTTCCTCCCTCCCTCTGAGATAGACCCCACACCAGTGTGTCCAGTGCCGGGGCACAGGGTGGCATCCCGGGGCCTCTGAGTCAGTCATCTCAGCTGTGAAGAGCCATGCCGAATGCCCTCAACGTGCCTGGCTGCATGGGGGCAGGTGCCAGTGGGCTCAGATGGCAGGGGAGGTAGGGGCTGTGCAGGGAGGCCAGCAGCATCCTGGACCCTCAGCCAGGACAGCTGACCCCATGGCCTTAATTGAGGTCGGCAGGCCAGCAGAAGCGTAGACCCCCCCTGGGGGGCTGGGGGAGCGCTGACACAGGAGCAGCCTATACATAACTTCCTGCTGCCAGGAGAGCCCCCCCCAGGCTTCATGGGGCAGTGAGGGGGAGCCAGGGCACGGGTGATTATGGGAGACTTTACCTAGAGTGGCCAGAGCTGGCAAGGCCTCCAGGGCTTCTGAGAGTAGTTGTGGGAGACAGACAACTCCGTGGCCTCTCTCTCAGGGAGATGTGCCCATTCCCACCCAGGACGGGCAGTCTTGGTTCCCAGAGGCTGACAGGGAGGTGTACTGGTTAAGTGGCAACCTGTAGACACACCCACCCCCAGCCACAAACCCTCAGTCCTTGGCCATACCCAGCCTGCCGTCTGCCCTGGAGTGAATCCCTGGGCACAGCTTGGGGGGTTCGAGGGGCAAAGGCTCTTCTGGGATCAGCAGCTGTCAGAGGCCGGGTCGCCAGCCTGGCATGAACCCATGCTGCATGTGCCAACACCCCTCATGCACACACCGCTGCTGCTTGAGGTCCCTCTCCTGGGGAAAGGCCACACGACAGCTTCTCAGGCCCAGGTACACCTGCTTGCTTGACTCTCAGGCCTTGCAGCTGCCCAGGAAGGGGGAGGGCCCCCCAGCAGCTGCAGCTCCATCGGAGCAGCTGCCACGGGACCAGCCCCTGCCAGGGGCTTTGCCTCTTCAGACCCACCCTGGGGGTGGCTGTGTGTCCTGCTGGCATCCCGTCCCCATCCGGTTCTCACGGTGTTGTGTAGGCCGCATTGGTTCCATGCATATCTGTCCTTTTCCATTACAGAGACGGAGGAGAGGCCCTGGAAGGGTCTTCCTGAGCATTGGCTTCACAGTTGGGCCATTTCCACAGTGGGGGCCTTCCCTGTGGTGCAGCGAAACCCTGGGAGTAGGCGCCCTTGGCCAGGAGCAGGTTCGGGGTTGGGTCTTGCCACCTGCCAGTGCCCTGGGAGGGAAGGTACCTGGCAGAGAGCATGAACCCTTTGCTCTTGACTGTCTTCCTGTGCCCTTGGGCAGCTGCATGTTCTCCCTCTGGCCTCAACTCTCTTGTTTTTAATGAGGCTGTTAGGACAGGGGGCCTCCCAGCTCTGTGGTCCCACAGTGTAGGTGTCCAGCCATGCCAAGGCCCACCTGAGAACGGTGGGCAAGAGCTGGGCAGGCCAAGTGGCCTCCTTTTGTGATCCACTACACTAGCAAAGTGTCCAGTTGCACCCCTCCTCCTAGCCATTACCCCAGGAGGGCCCGGGGTTTGGCAGGTGCTCAAACCATGCTGTTACCTGGACAGTTTGGGCCAGACCCTGCCCCACAATGAGCTGTGTGGCCACAGGTTCAGCAGTGTCTTCCCAAGCCTCAACATGGCCGTGAAACGGCGGGAGCAGGCCCTGCAGGACTACCGGAGGCTGCAGGCCAAGGTGGAGAAATACGAGGAGAAGGAGAAGACGGGGCCCGTGCTGGCCAAGCTCCACCAGGTACTGAGGGCAGGGGAGCGGGGCAGGACCATGGCCCCAGGCAGTCCCTGGGGGTGAGGGCCAGCACCCGAGATGCTCGTGCCAGTCTGCACCCAGAGCTGATGCCTCGGGCCTCGTTGCCAGGCCCGGGAAGAGCTCCGGCCCGTCCGTGAGGACTTCGAAGCCAAGAACAAGCAGCTGTTGGATGAGATGCCACGTTTCCACAGCAGCCGCCTCGACTACTTCCAGCCCAGCTTTGAGGCCCTTATCCGGGCACAGGTAAGGTGCCAGCCCTCACTGTACAGACCATTCCAGCACCGGAGGGAACGTCCAGGGGGCTGTGCAGCCTGGGCAGTCCCCTCCACAGTGAGCAGGCCCAGCACTCCCTGAGCCATGAGGCCTTGCTGGGTGCTCTGTTGGGTCTCAGTGGCTCTTGGCCGAGTCCCTGCCCAGGGAGTAAGGAGCTCCTTCACATCTGTCTTCTACCCTTCCACACATTAGCCTTGAGCCCCCAGGCAGTTTCTCCCTGAACGTGGCAGAGATGAGGGGGTCCCCAGGTACCATGGCACACCTCCCGGTGCAGGAGTCTAGGCCAGTCTAGGATTCCGGCCCTCTATCTCCTAGTGGAGTGGAGTTGTGCAGCTCCCACCCCCACCCTACTCCTAGCCTTTAGCAAGTGAGGACAGCTGGGGGCCACTACTAGGAATCTGTCTGTGCTCAGGACCCCTGCTATGCTTGTCACTTCCCCGGCCCCAGGTTGGCAAACTGAAGGTTCTCTTGGTCCCATCACCTGGCTGCCCTGTTCATTCTCAGCTGGGTGTCTGGCGCCCTCCAGTGGGCATCATCCTTCCTTGCCAGTTGGTACCCTGGAAGAGCCTACCTCCCACCCACTCTCCTGGGCTGGCCTGGGAGTCACAAACCCTGAGTGGGATTGGTGCTGGAGCTGGCATTTGTGACAGCTGCTACTGCCTTGGAATCTCCCTGCCTCGTCTCTGGGGGTGCAGCTTCCTTCCAGCAGCTACACCCTGGATCTGCCCCTGCTTAGGCACCGAGGTGGAGGTTCAGGCCCGGCCCTGCTGCCCCGGGAGCAGCACACAGCAGGGCCTCAGGCTCGCCTACTGCTCTTGCACACCAGCCTCCTCCTCCTCCCCCAGCTGCCACTGCTGTAGTCACCGCCAAGGAAGCATTCCTGATGATTCGTCACACAGTGGCCTGCACACTTGTGGGTCCCGGGCCCACAGCCCTCCAGGGGCACCTTAGAGCACCTTGGCACTCTCACCTGGTCTGCCCAGCACGGGGCTCTTGTGTGTCTGCCTGGAGGGGGCGTCCCTCTCCCATGCTTAGAGCCCTTAGAAGCTTTCCACCCAGCCCTCGGCCCCCTAGGGAGTTGCTGCTGAGTCTGTTCCCACCCCACTGCTCTGGGTGCCTGATGGCGTCCTGGAGGAAAGCCTGGCCCGGGGGCTCCCTTCCCCTGTAAAGTGCTCTGGGTCCACGGGCGAGTCAGATCCCTTCTGAGCCTCCCACTCCCACACTGCACAAACCCTCCTCACCGCCCACTCCTCACCTCCCACACAGGTGGTGTACTACTCGGAAATGCATAAGATCTTCGGAGACCTGACCCGACAGCTGGACCAGCCTGGCCACTCAGATGAGCAGCGGGAGCGGGAGAATGAAGCCAGACTGAGCGAGCTGCGAGCCCTCTCCATCGTGGCCGATGACTGAGTCCCTGCCCTCGGGAGACTCCAGGGACACGTCCGCACCTTCTGCTCTCGGCCCTTTCTGGGCACAGGCTCATGCCCTCCCTGCCAGACAGCTGTGAGAAGTGCCATACCTGGCAGCGCCTCTTCTACCTCGCCAGCCCTGTGAGCCAAGAGGCATCCGTTGCCTCGAGCCGCAGGCAGCGGCTGTCTCCCCATCCCCAGTCAGGGTGCAGGTAAGCTGCGGAGGGAAACGCTGGGGTCATTAGCAGAACCGTCCAGGGCCCAAGCCTAGGGGCCAGTCCCAGCCCTTGGGAGGATGCAGGTGACATCTCAGCCCTGCGCATGCTGGCCAGGACACCTACCTCCACAAGACACATGGCATGGCACATCCTGGGAGAGCTCTCAGCCCAAGGGGCTGCTTCAGGGCAAGGCTGCATGCCAAATCTTTGCTGTCTCCTTAGTCCCCAGGCCTCAAAGGGGCAAGGAACAGTAGTAGGTTTGTGTCACACCTGCAATATTTGGAATTCTATTTTTTTCAAGTAAAGTTTCAAGTAAAGAAATCATAGTACTGTGATTAAAAATTTCAGCGAGGAAGGGGAGCAGCCAGGGCACTTCCCGGCGGCCTGCTGCCCTCTGCCGAGGCAGTGGCGGGCCCAGGGCAAACTTAGAGGAGGGGACAGCTACGGCAGACATACTTAGCTTGTTTTTGACTTTGGTTTATTTAAAAAAAAAAAAAAGGCAGGGAAAAAAAAAAACAACTTTATGTACAAAGTCAAACCGAAACCACGGATTATGGAAAGAGGTGAGAGGACAGGGACAGGGATAGATAGGGCCAGAGCCAATACCACATTCTGAACACAGGAGCCGGGGAAGAGGTGCTGGTTTCTTCTGCGGGGAGGGGCACGGGGCCGCAGCACCGCACTCGCAGCCCCGCGCCCGGAGCACACACAGGCTCCCTCCCTGACCTCCACGGGAGCCCCTTCCCAGGAGCCTGCACCTGGAACCGCCACGGCAGGGGCTCCTCAGCCGGCCCGGGCCGGCTCCACATCTGGCGTTCCAGCTTACCGGCAGCTCCAGACCTTGTCACAGACTCCAAGGCCTGTTCCTCCTCCCCTGAGTCTGGACCGGAAGAGGACAGGAGAAAGTCAGCACAACTACAAGGGCCCCAGGAGGATTCCAAGGTTGAGGGCAAAATGACATTGTAGGGGTACAAGATGTTGAGTTGTCATGGGAACTGGGGTTCCTCACACATCTGTTCCGTGTCGCCCAGGCCCCACACTGATGGCTTGCCTTCCCTCACAGAGGCTGAGCGCAGGGTCAGCCACTCCTAAGGCTCCCAGGTCCTGCTGCGCCGCTTTCCGGTACCAAAGGCTCTAACACCAGCCGGCTCCACCGCTGACCGCCCAGGCCCGCAGGCTCAGTTGCTGGGCGCCGGCTCCTCCCTCTCGGCCCAGCCGTCCGCCTGTGAGACACAGGCACAGCAGGGTGAGGCCTGGCCGGGGACTGCCGTCACCTGGTGGGGAGCAAAGGGGGCTCAGACAGGCCATCGCCCCTTACCTTCTCCACCATTCGCTGCACCTCCAGCTGCAGGGGCGTCAGGCGCCTGCGGAACTCCTGGAGCAGCCGCTGGAGCTGGCCCTTATGCCGCTCGGCTGTCTGAGCCGTCTCCTCGGTCTCGGCCAGCCGGGCTCTCAGCTCCTGGATCTCGGCTGCCAGGGTCTTGTTTGTTCCCTCCGTGGCCAAGAAACGATTGTGGCTCTCCTCTGTGGGGGAGGAAGCACAGCTCAGTTGGGCCACAGCCCACGGAGTCCCCGTCCCATGCCAGGCGCCGTGGCTGGGGGCCACTCACCCAGCTTTAGTTCTAGCGTGTGGATCTTGTTTTCCAGGTAGAGCCGGCCGCTGTCCTGCTGCTCCGCACGCTGCAGCAGGCTGCCCACGTTGATGAGGCTGCCGTTGTGGGGCACCAGGCCTTTGTGTTCCACGGGGGCTGTGCCGGGCTTTGTGCTGTTCGCAGGAGCAGGCAGCAGGTCCAGGTTTCCTGGGTAGGGACGCGCACAAGCGTGAGGCCCTCAGGAGGAAGCCACAGCCTCCCCGCCCGCTGAAGGATGCGGGCCGCAACGTACCCAGGAGCACCTCCTCAGGAAGCCCGCTGTCCACGCCCTCCTGGCGGCTGTACTGAAGGCTCCGGTACTGGCAGATGTTCTGGGTCACCACCCTGCTGACCAGCCGCTTGGCCTGCAGCAAACACAGCCACACACCTGCTGGTCAGAAGGTGGGGACCCCGAACCCCGGGGATCAAGTCCCACTTCCACCCCAGCTTCCTGCTGTTGCAAATGATGGTCCAAGTGCTTGGGCCGGAGGCCACACGGGAGACCCAGAGGGAGTTGAGCGCTCGCACTGGCCTAGCCCCGCCCCGCCCGTGTGGGCAGTGAAGCAGCAGATGAAACACGTGCCGCGTGAGCGTGAGGGCAAGCCATCCCAGCCCTGAGAAAAGCTACCTGCTCTGCACTCAGTCGGATGCCCAGGGTGAGCAGGATCCTCTCCAAGTCTCGCCGGTGCAAATAGCCACAGCAGTTGGCATCGAAGAACACAAAGGCAAGCAGGCAGTCCAGGGGGAGCACAGCAGAGGGGTCCAGCTCCTTGGGCTGCGAAGGAAGCGGATGGGCGGAATCAGCTCTCACCTCTCAGTGGCCCAATCACTCGGACGCAGCCCTTTCCCTGCCACGTGGGCCTGCACGTTTGAGAAGGTACCCGATGGCTCACCTGTCACACCAAGGCAACAGAACAACCGAAAAGCACATCACAAACAGGTACGAGCAAAGGCTTGGCTAACGCCGCAGCCAGCAGGCCAGAGACGGCTGTCCCAGGCCACGGCACAGAGCAGCCAGCTGCGAGCAGCCCAGAGCCCTCCCTCCACTTATCCTGATGCTTAGGTACCCTCCCTGTGAGCCCTGAACCACCTCTGGGCTGGTCGCTGACAGAGGTCCTGGAGGCCCTCCCTCCCCGAGCTCTGGGCCAGAGGCCTCACCATGTCCTGAAGCGAAGAGAACTCCATCTCTGACTGGTTGGAGGCAACCGAGCGCACTTCTGAATCTTCCAACTTTGCTCCTGCTACGAAAGCCTGAGCTGAGCAGGGGCGGCCTGGACCCAGACCTGCTTCCGTTCAGAACCCTCCCAGCCGTGGCCTTACCGAACTCCTCCTCGCCGTCATCCCTTAGCAGCAGCAGGTCGGGGTCCAGGGCCATCTCGCACAGCTCCTCGGTCGCCTCAGCCCGCGGCTTCTCCTCCTCCTCTCCGCCTGTAGAGGGCGCTTTGGGCAGCAGCCCGTCTTCCTTCTATGGAAGCAGAGGGAAGGGGCAGAGGAATGGACCCCCAGGGGCTAAAAGGAAAATGGCCACAGCGGAGCACCAGCCGTGCCAGACATCTCTCCCTGTACACATGGGACTTACACATCTCAGGGCACTTTCCAGGTCCTGGTGTGTGCCCCAGCACTGAGGCAACCCAACTTTTGTTTTAGTAAAAATTAAAAAAAAAAGCTTAGGTTTCTTGTTAACCCTCAAGTAATCCGCATACATCTAGTCTTGCAGGCACCTTAGCTGCAGAGAAATCTGTGCTTTTGCTCTTCCAACTGCGTGGTCAGAGGCACGAGCAGGGGGCCACCACCACGGTGTCCCAGGAGCAGGGAATGCAACAGGACATGCCAGGGCTGCCAACAAGGCCTGGCACAGGCAAGCACCGTGACCCGGGGTGCCTGGCGCCCAGCAGGTACTCACCAGCGATGCATCTGCCGCGGCAGCTGCGCCCTCGCTCTGTGCCTCCTCCTCCTTCGGCTCTTTCACCACGGCCTCTTTCACAGCTTCCTCCTCTTTGACCACTTCTTCCTTGGCTGCCTCTTCCTTCTCGGGTTCTGGCGGGGACACAGCCTTTTCAGGAAGGCTCAGCAGCATCTTGTAAATCCTGTAGCCGAAATCCCTCTGCAGCATCTCTAGAAACAGCTCAGCCAGCACCAGCACCTGTGGGGAGGTGGGCAGTGAATGTGCCAAGGCTCCCAGCCCCCACACGCCGCTCCACAGACTCAACATCCAGACACCTGCCTCAAAAGACAGCCTTTCCTTGGGCCTCCGATCCTCCACCATCCCATGGAGGGACAGGTTGACACAGCCAGGACGTGCAATGACAGCGGGTTCTAGAGGCGGCGGAGGGGCTTCTGGGAGGTCCGTGTCCGCTTCCTGCTGGGTGGTAGCCTCAGGAGGGTCTGCATTCTGTTTCGAAGACTCTGTTGTCTGCTCCGACGCATCACAGGCCTGTTCTGCAGGCTCTGCTTCCTAGAACATCAGCCAAGGCTGACTCTCGGGGGCAAAGACTCAGGGTACCCACTTCCCCTGCGTCTTCCCGAGGCACAGTCTTACCTGTGGCACCTCCTGGGGTGGGGAAGCTGCCTCTGTGGCTTTCTGCTGGCACTGGGCCTCCCATTCTTCCAAAGTAGGCATGACAGTCCAGACATCTGGCAGGTACACTACCACCGTGTGCAGCCGCCGAGGCGGGCCCGGCTGCAGGTACTGGAACTCGGCAAAACGCCACCTGCTCACAGCAACCAGGAAGGGCCGTACTGAGTCCTTACAGGCTCTAGTATACGCAGATGCCACCCTCCCAGGCAAGCACTGCGGCTTCTAACGAGCAAACTGACAAGCTCAGAAAGCGCACCCAGGAAAGCCACCAACCAAGTCCTCAAGAGGCAGTGGGGGGGAACAGGGTTAGCAGGCAGCTACTGGAGGAGAGGCCGTGAGAAGCGCACCAGCTGGGGCCCCAGTCACACTCAGAACCGGGCATGCACCTACAGCAGCTGCAGGGAGCAAGGGAGACAGGAGTGCCAAGGGGCAGAGTGCAGCGCAGGCTCGGCTTTCTGGACACGATCTGCCCTCCCAGCAAGCTAATCCTGACCAGGCCCAGGGTGGGCCACTCACCACTTTGTGCAGGTGCTCAAGTCGATGCCAGTCTGGGCTTGGGCACAGCGGATGGCTGTGCGCACCAGCACCTGAGGGTCGGCCTGGGGGTCGAGACCATCCAGGGAAGGAGACCACTCGCCCCCAATGAGCACTGCCTCTTCTTCCTTCCTGCCCAGCAAGAACTGCAAAAACAGAGGAGGGATAAGAAACACCCAATTCCCTGGGTCTCCCCGTGAGACAGACTACCCCCAGCCAGGAATGAAGGCAACAGGAGGGCCATGCCAGGGCCTCTACACCAACACGAATGGCGATCCCCTCACTGTCAAGGACAGACCACCCTGAGTGGAAATGTCCTGAGTAAGACAAGGGTCCTTGCAGCTCTGCTTCTGCAGGCTCATGACCCTGAGCTGAGCTGGAGTGAACTTCGCAAGTGCCAGACCTAATCTGACTCGAGCTCTTACCTTAATCTGCTTCAGAGGATGTTCTGGTGTCTCTCTCGGCTCAGCCATGTCATCCACGAACTGCACACAGCAACGATACAATTCCTCAATTCCCGGGCACGAGAGCAGCAGTACCTGGGTGGAGGCAGGGAGGAGACGCTCAGAGCCACCTTCAGCTTCCAGTTCCGGAGCAGAGGGCAGGAGCCCGGTCTGTGTACCTTGGAGCTGTAAGCAGGGGTGCCTTCAGCAGGGCTGGGCTCGGCACCGACGGCTGAGGCTGCCTCCTTCTCCGAAGAGACCTGGATGCGGCTCGGGTGGTGGAGGGAGAAGGGCTGGCTCAGGGGGAAGGCCGCCAGCCAGCTCAGATGCACGCACAGGAAGTCTGATGGGACCAAGAGGCTGCGGTAGCGGCGCTGGAGTTCTAGAAAGTCACAGATGGGGCTGCAGAGGACAGAAAGGAATTCCAGATTGAGTGAGATGAAATCATGGAGGAAAAAAAGGAATCTGCCTAAGAAACAGGCAAATCATTTTTCAGTCTCAGAACTTTCTACGGCACCTCGAGAGATGAGCCAGTCCTGACCACTTGATTTGCAACCTCCGGAAGGGGAAAGTCAAACTGAAAAAGGGGCGGGCAATGTCTGCACAGAACGAGTCACTGTCCCCGTTTAAGACGACTCACAAGTTGGCAACAGAAAGAAAGACTGAGCAGAAACCAGGAGGGCCGACATCACCAAACAGCAGGAGGAACAGCAACGGAAGCCTTCCACGCCCATGGAAAGGCACTCCACCGGGTCTGCACCAGTTAGACAAAGGTGAGCAAGGCGGAGGGCAGAGTGCTGGCAGCTGCTGGCCACAGGGCCGCGTGCCCGGTGCCGAGTCCACTGACACAGCCCCTCGGGAAGCGCGGCAAAGGCCCCCGCAGTGATGTGACAGGCCTGCATCCAGCCAGCCCGTTTCCAGGAACAGACCCATACACAGGCAGGAGCAGCAACACTGAGCACATGCTGGTGACAAAATGAACTTGAGCTAATAAATGTTAAAGGGCACAAACGAACATACAGTGACTAAAATACCAAATTCTGTGCCTGTGTGTGTATAAATACAAATACCCAACAGGCTTCCGCTGGCCTTGACCTGTCCCCCCCATTTGAAAGGCTTTAGCACTCGGTGCACAGGGGCATGGACTGACACAGGAAGTTAGTGCAGGCCGGTCGCAGCCCTCCCCGGCGTGCACTCACCTGTCCACAGTGTAGGGAGTGACATGGACGCGGTAGGGAGGCAGGTCATGCCGCGGTTTCTTAGCACCCCAGGGCTCTCCACCAGCCCGCTGCTTGCGTTTCTTGGAGTCATAGTCATCGCTGTACGTGGATCCGGTGGCAGAAGGGAAAAAGAAAGAACACATGGTTATTTGTGGGCTTGATCCAGACCCCTTACCCTGAACGCGCCAGCGGGCCCAGGACAGGACGGGTCACAGGTATCTTAACTCTTACGGTAACACAAAAACACTCGGGCCCAGAATAAAAGCACAGGGCCAATGTCACAGCGGGCTAATCCACCCTGTAAAGCCCCTCCTATGGGCGCTGCTTCATGTCCTGGCTGCCCCACTTCCCACCCAGCTCTGCTTGTGACCTGGGAAGGAAACAGAATGGCTCAGGTCCTTGGGCCCCTGTCACCCACATGAGCTTCAGATAAGCTCAACTCTGGCCATGTGGCCATCTGAGCAGTGGGCCAGAAGAGAAAAGATTTTCCTCTGTCTGTCCTCCTCTCTGTAAAATATGCCTTTCAAGGGCCCAGCACAGTAGCCAAGTAGCTAAAGTCCTGGCCTTGCATGTGCTGGGATCCCATATCCTGTCTGCTCCACGTCCCATCCAGCTCCTGCGTGTGGCACAACAAAGCTACAGAGGAATGCCCTAAAGCCCTGGGACCCTGAACCCACAAGCGAGACACGGCGCCCCTGGCTCCAGATCAGCTCAGCTCCAGCCGTCGCAGCCACTCGGGGAGTGAGCCAATGAACGGAAGCTCTTTGTCTCTCCTTCTCTGTAACAGATGACTTCCCAATTAAAAAAAAAAAAAAATCTTAAGCAAACACAGTGTACAACACCACAGACAGCAGGCCTCCGCTGTGCAAATTAAACACTTAAAAACAAAATAATTGTGGATCCATCAGACTAATATGCTTATGAGTAAGTTTTAATTTTTCTGAACTTTGCTAATCATGTATAACTAACAAAATCTTGCAAATGAGGAAAAAAGGTATCTTTTGTTTTTTTAACAAAAGGCACACTTATGGTAACATGCTAGGGGGTCCAAGTTTCATTAGAAGTAGTTGTTCCTGGGCCTGATGGCCAAAGCCCTTGCATTGTACATTTCAGGATCCCATATGGGCGCTGGTTCTAATCCTGGCAGCCCCGCTTCCCATCCAGCTCCCTGCCTGTGGCCCGGGAAAGCAGTCGAGGACGGCCCAAAGCTTTGGGACCCTGCATCCGCGTGGGAGACCCAGAAGTTCCTGGCTTTCAGTCAGCTCAGTTCCTGCCATTGCAACCAGTAGATGAAAGATCTGTCCCTCCTTCTCCCTATAAATCTGCCTTTCCAATAAAAATATTAAAAAAAAAAAAAGATACACATATCCAGCAACACCCATTTTTTTAGTAAAATCATGTAGCCATTAAAACAATCATGAGTATGCAAAGAACATGGAAAGGGTGCTTAAAAACAGACCAAGACGACGGAGCGCCAACACTGCAGAGATGGCCGCAGTTACACTAGAAACAGACAAGGCAGTGACTTCCCTTCCTGGACTTATTCCCGAGCTGCTTCACTATCCACTAGCTGATCCCACTCCAATTTTATAGACCAGTATCTGCTACCTTACATATTTAGTAAATCACCTAATAGTCTGATTACATGAAATACCAAAAAGACCTTTAGCTCATTCACGCCGCCAGCTGAGTAAGTGAGAACATCTCAGAGCTCAGTCACATTAGAAAACCAACACCTGGTTTTCGTGCCTAGGCGGCTGAGCTCACCGATCCCTGCCAGATTCTGCTGCGCACCTTTCCCGTGGCCTAGCTGGGCCACTCGGCCGTCCCTTATACCTGAGTGAGTGGGCAGGCCCCAGGGAACACTCCCCACGCAGGAGCGCCGCCAGCCCGGCCTGCTGATCTCACCTGCGGACACCAGGGCCTCCCTCGTCCTAACACGGGAGCTGCCTGTCCCGCAGCCATCCTGGCACCTGCCAGCACAGTGGGCTGCTGTGCAAAGTGGATGTTCCGCCCAACACTGTGGCTTCACCAGCCAGTCTTTCCCTTAGCGGGAATGGTACGAAGCCCACCAAAGGCAGCCCCGGTCCCTACACTTCAGGAGCCCCAGCAGCAGACACCAAGCACCCTGGAAAGCTCAGCAGGTGCACTCCAACGCAGGCCCACCTCCCTGGGAGCCAGAGCCTAGGATTCAAACCCAAGGTAAGCTTGCCGATATGGCCAAATCTTCCTTTCATAATGTCATGCTTCCCCCCAGCAGGACCCAGCTGCCACTCCCCTCCTCTTGCTCTGCTGACCGACAGTACCGTGTCCCCATGCTAACACTTCCTTCTTCCAGGAGCTGCGACACACAAGCCCTACGGGGGCTTGGCAGGGCAGCTGAGCTATGAAGATCTGAACTGGAACCTGTCACAGCGTCCACAGTGGGCATCAATTTCCATGCCACCCAATTTCCATGCCCTGAGGGCACTTAGCAAAGCTGGAGGGTGAAGCATGCCACTGAGAAGGCTCAGGCCGAGAGGCAGGGCTGTGAAGACACACTGCTGAGTCCCTGCCAGAGCTTCCCCTGGAAGGGAGAGGCACTGGCCCAGCAGAGGTGAGCTCGACACCGGGCTACACTGCCCGTCAGCCCCTGCTCTGACCACACCGAGGGGTGCGCACCGTTAGCCTCACCCCCAACAGCCCACAGGGGCCTGCAGGATACGAACTTCCTTCTCAGAGCCTTCCACACCTCGGAAGAGCACTACAACACGAGGGAACTTTCCAGAAGCTCTAAATCTCAACAGGGGTGAGGGCCACACAGGATTTTCCATTTGTCAAAATCATCCAGCTATAATCGGTATTTCAATCCTCAGAAAGCTCACTTTAAAAACATTTACCTTAAAAAAGTCAAGGGCCTGGCACAATGGCTTAACTGGCTAAATCTTCATCTTGCAAGCGCCGGGATCCCATATGGGCACCAGTTCATGTCCCAGCTGCTCCACTTCCCACCCAGCTCCCTGCTTGTGGCCCAAAGCCTTGGGACCCTGCACCCGCGTGGGAGACCCAGGCAGAGGTGACACACGCCACGGCTCCACACCAAGAGCACGCCGTACACCAGCCACTGCACACGTGGCAGCGTTTCCTAGATGGTTTTGATTCTTGGCATCTTAATCTTAAGGAACTAAAAACAAGAGAACACGTATTTAAGAAAGAACCTCGACGACACAGCATTCTAAAACATGAAGTGTCTCAGATGCCTGCCGGTTGAACCAGCACACGAAACCCCAGCCTTTGAGTCCGTGTGTCTCCCTAGGACCCAGAGGCAGCACCAACACAGAGAACCGAGGCACCTGCCTCCCCCTCCTCTTACCTTCGGCCGGGATCCAGCCGTCCATGAGGGCCCCTGGCAGGGAACCTGTTCAGGTGGCTCAGGTGGAGGGTGTGCGATGTCTGGAACAGACTCAGAGCTGTGGGAGGCAAAAGGCTGCTGACTAGAAGCGCCCAGAACCTGCCCAGCTTCCCCTGCCCTTCCCCGGAGCGCACCGAGGCAGCGAGCAGAGCTCTGAGCCCACCAACCCCCCACCTCCCGACCGCCGGGACTCACGCTTCTGAGGGAAGAGGGGGGGAATCCGGTGAGGCTGGAAGATCAGCTGGGGCTGAGCTCCCAGGATCCCTTGCTTCTGGCCCAGAGCTGCCACGTGCAGAAGAGGAGGCGCTGGGGACTTGAGGAGGGGCTGCAGGACAGGAGCCAGGAAGCTCAGAGGAGCCCATGGACGGCTTTCCCAGGCCCTGGGCAGGTGGCTGTCAGGGCCCAGGGGCCTACCCCCGCCTTGCCAAGGCACCCACCTACCTGGTTGGAGAGTGTCTGCACTTTGACGGCGTTCCAGGGCACGGCCTGGCCCGGGCTGTACGCGGCCTTCACCAGCACCTTCTCCCCCAGCTGGGGCAGGCGGCCCTTTACCACACTGCCAACACACAAGCCCCAGTGGTGAGCCCAGCCTCCCCCGTGAAGCCCATCCCACGGTGCACACAAAGCCCCCCAGCGGCACGACCCAAGGGAAGCCACTAAGTAGACAGGGCGGCAGCTTCAGGCCTACCTGAGCTGGAAGAAGACCTCTTCATCCACCACTCCGAAGTAGTCGTGCAAGCTGGTGACAATGCCAGTGAAGACCCGCTGCTTCTCCCCGCCCTGTAAGAGAAGGCGAGGGACAGGGAGCGACCCCAACACGCCCACCGCAGGCCCAGCGCCGCTCAGCACATCCGCGTCAGGATCCCAGGGCACGAAACCCACTCTGCAGGAGATCAGAGCAAGCTGACTGTGGGTGCCCCAGCTTCTCTCCTCCGACTGCCTCTTCCTCCTCCTTCCGCTAAAGGCACCCTACAGACTCCCCCGGCTGACAGGTGAGCGACCCACAGCATGCCCACCCGCAGGGCAGGTCGGTCAGCAAGACCACCAGACGCCTCTGTGTGGCGGAGGCAGTTGGTGAGGGCTCACAAGGAGAGATGCCCCACCTACCTGCAGGTGCCTGGCATTCTGGGACAAGTCTGTGGCCACAGGAGGGGTGAGCAGGCCAGGAGGAGGGCCCAGAAGGGAGGTGGAGGCTGCACCTATTCGGGGACAGGGATGACAAAGGAACTGAACTCACCCCGCAAAGCCCAGGGGTGCAGGCAGGGGGCACACCACCACCTCCTCCTCGGGGCTTCGCAGGCCACCGCCGTGGTCCCCTCCCCCAGCGGGGCACAGCCCAGCAGCCACACTTCCCAGGGAACTTATCCCTAAGAGCACAGAGGGCCGGGTGCCAGGGGTCAATCACCTGAGAAGCTGCGGCCCCCTGGGAGCGGGTTGATCCGCTGGCGCTTAAACTGGGACATGGGGAAGGCTGCCGTTCTCTGATCTCAGAGGTGTTTGCTTTTGGAGGGGAGGAGGGATGGCGGAAAAGAGAGATCCTTGAATCAGAGAAGAGAAGAAACGGATTAAAACGCTACGACGGAGAACAAGACACCTTCAGGTCAGGAGAGGTGGCGGGGTGGAGAATGAATGGAGGAAACGCCGGACGGCCAGGGACCAGGCAGCAGCAGGAAATGAAGTCAGAAATGACACGTCCCGGCTGCCCTCACGGCCGCGGGGCGTCGGGCGGCGGGCGGCCGCGGCCGAGATGTGCCCGGCCCGGGGCTTCACCCGCCACCCACCGCACGCAGGCACCTGCCCTCCGCGGCCGGCGAGCCACCCCACCCGCTCGGGGAGGCATCCATTCATTCACGAACATCCAGAACGCTGCACGCGGGGGCCCGGGCAGGGCAGCAAATATTAAAAAAACAAGAGACAGAAAGAGAAGCGGAGGCGGCCCGGCCCGGGGCCCGCGAGGCCCGGCTGCGGGAGCCCCTGTCTTCCCGGTCCGTCGTTGTCCCCCCCCCGGCCTCCCCGGCTGCTCCGGTCTGTCCTCCCCGCCACGCCGGGGACCCCGGGCCGCCGAGGAGCCTCGCCCCCAGCCCTCCCGCTCCTCTTCCTCCGCCGCCGCCGCCCCCGGGGCCGAGCCCGTTGCCAAGGAGACGGGATGTGCAGCCCGCCCGGGGCTCGGCCTCCCGCACCCCGGCTCCCCCACGCCCCCGTGCAGCTGCGCCTCCCGCACCCCGGCCCAGGAGCGGGCCTCGCGTCCCAGGGGGCGGCCGCCGCCACCCACCTGCGGGCCAGGGCCGCCACACCGGGGGGACAAAGACACCCGGAACCACCACGGCAGCCGCTGCTTGCCGCCGCCACCGGAAACGCCTCTCCGGAAGCGCGACCACTGGTCGGAAGCTGCCAGCCTTCCGGATATGGTCCCTCCCCCCCGCCGCCCCACGCCATCCCGCGGCAACGGCGGGACGGAAGTGCGCTTTCTGGGATCCGCCTGCGCGTCGGGAAGCGGCGTCTCGGTGGTGTCCTGGCTTAAGCGTTCCCCCTTGGAAAAGCAAAGCGCTGGAGCATCGGTTCCTGGTCCGAAGACAGCAGGAGCCCAACACTGGCAGCTCGGTGCACCGCCTCGCCCTGGCCGCAATCGGGCAGCCTCCGGAGGACCCGCCGCTGCCCGGCGAACGCAGGCCTGATGAGCACACACTTCTACCAGTCCCTGCCGGTCCGATTCAAGCCCCTGACGCGCCCCCACCCCAATCCCTGCCGTCCCCCAGCTACCACCACATGGGACAAGCGCCTCATTCTCAAATGGGAACCTAAGCGGCCTGGTGAGGACAACTGACCCAGAATCTGGCCCGGGGACTGGCCATTTTAGTTCCAATCGCGCCACTCTATCCCCCGTCCTCCAAGCTCCCCGTTATCCATCTCCCCCCACACCCTCCCTTTCCTCTTGATTAAACATCCACAAGGCCGACTGAGACTGTTTAATCTCACTTGATCCTCATGACAAGACTGAGGTAGGTAGGGCTGGCGTCACCGCAAGAGGGAGGCTGGAAGCAGGCGTGGGCGTCTCCAATGTGTCAAAGTCAGCACGGCCCAGAGCGACTGAGAAATCAACTCTGATACCCCTGGGAGGTCCCCGAGTCTCCCCAGTTCCAGGTGTCCTGCTCCATAACGCAGCCAGAAAGAGGGGGAACAGGGCCCCCAGTACAGTGCCAGGACCACTGCAGGGACAGCTTCCCACAGCTCAGAAGGCCCAGCACATGAGATGCATACAGATTCCAGGAGAAATGACTGGCTCCAGCTGCCACACCAGGGCCCAGACACCTGGCACATAAGTTGGCTTACAGCGGCATCCCCAGGAGCTGCTGGCCCAGGCCCGAGGGGGGAAGTCCTGGAGCTGGCCACTGCACCAGTCTCCGAGCGTGGCTGCAGCTTCTGTTGGCGTTGCAGACAACGCGGCAGCCAGGGGCCCAGGGCCTCCCCCGTTCCTCCCCGCCACCCAGGATCACCAGTGTACCAGGTGGGCTCAGCATACAGAAACATTTTTGGCTCGTTGCTTCTTAACGGTTACCGATGGCATAAAGGTTCTCCGATGGTTGTGACACCGAGGCCTTTCTGGGGAGGCCCTGGGCTCCATCCTGTTGGAGGGGAACAGAAATGTTAGGCTAGAAGGGAGAACAAAAGGGGAGCGTGGGGATATTAAATGAGTGCTAATCAGTGTTAGATCCCCCATAACCCAACACACACCCCAGCAATGCTGGTAACAACACACACACACACACACACCAGACACCAGTAGTGCTGGCAACACATACACACACAAACATCGCACTGCTGGTAACACACACACACACACACACACACACACACACCCACACCCCAGCACTGCAGGTACCTCCCCCTGTCCCGCCCATAAGAGCTAGCTGGGAGGGACAGAGGCAGTTCCCATATCCAACACTCACCAGTCAACTGTCCCAAATGTCCTGCAGCCCCCAGCCGGCCCAGCTGCCTGCCCCTGGGGCACCTGACTCACTTCCTGCTTCTTCCAGGACCCCACTCCCACCCAGCGACACCACTCCACTCCCACCCAGCCACTCCCACTCCACTCCCACCCAGCCACTGCCACTTTACAACCACTCCCACTCAGATTTCACAGGGACCAAGACTCACACGTGGCTCAGCCTCCTGGAGCCCTCACCTGGAGCTTGAACCTCCAGGTGGGGCAGGCCGCTCGGTGTGCCGAGGAGTCCTCCAGCGGATCCGGTTGAGCAAGACCTTGACCTTGTCCCAGTGGGAGACATCTCGCTAAGCAGAGGGCAGAGAATCACCGTGGAGCCAGCCCACACGCACAAACCCCCAGCCAAGCTACCAGGACAAGTCAGTGCTGCAAAGCGGAATGCTGTCATTCTCGCGAGCTTTCTGCGCCATCCCCCCCCCCAAGCCGAGTCCCCATCCTTCCCCCACCCCCACCACCCTGACCCAAGGAGCCACCAACTACCTTGCATTCTTGGGAGGCTGAGAAGTCAGGAGTTGGCTCCAGGGGGGGCTCTGACAACCTGGGAGGGTGGGCTCCTGGCTCCCCCAGCTTGGGAGACAAAGTAACCTCTGCCCCTTCTGAAAGAGAATCGGGTTACCAGGGCCAAGAACACCAAGTGCCACCTCCCCTCACCGAATCAAGCTGTGGCTGGCTGGGGGAAGCCTCCTGTGAGAGGTGGCAAGGACACAGGGAGAGATCCAAATGGCCCTCACCTGCCTCCTGTGCGTGGCTTAGCAGCTCCCATCGCCCCCGCACCCCGCTGCCCAGGTCTGGTGAGGCTGAGGGTGAAGGCAGAGCCCCCAGAGCCGACTCCTCCTCCAGCGAATCCTGTGTGTAAAAGGGGCGGGGCCATCAGGGATGGGGCTGCTCAGTGGCTGGGATGGAGGGGTCTGTTCCACCACCTGTGCCAGCCTCCTTGGTCTCCTGGCCACCAGGGATCCACTCACCCCAGGCAGCCGTTGGGTCCACAGCTGCAGGTAAAGCTGCTGCAGCCTTGCCATCTGCTCCAGCACCAGGCACAGGTGTTCCAGGTAGCGGAGACCCTGCCCTGGGAGGCAGGCCCAGGTTCCAGGCCCCAAGTCCCCCGCCTGTGGGACACAGCCAGGCAGACTCTATCAGCCGCCCATCCAAGGCAGGCAAGCCGGGGCTGTGTGCTCAGGGCAGAGTGGCAGGCCAAATAGGGACACACACCCGTCAGCTGGGCAGGGTGCCCTGCAGGAAGGTGCCAGACCAGCCCACCTCCTCTGCGGGAACGTTACACACAAGCTAGGAGTGACATGAGGCAAGCAGCTATGACCCAAGCCATCAATTAGGGCTGAGGGCCACCACGCCCCAGACAACTCTGGGGAGAATGAGGGGGGTGGCAGTCCCCACACAAAATTAAGGCACTCACCACCCTTGCTTCTTCCGCTCCCGCCTCTAGGTGGGTTTCTGCCTCCAGGCACCCTTCTGCTGGACAGAGGCCCACTTCACTCTCAGGCCTGCCGGCTGGCTGCAACACACCAGGCTGACTTTCCCACGAGCTGGCAGGCGCAGGCGACGGTGGCGGGAAGTGATGGGAGCGCTCCAGCACCTGCTCCAGCTTGTGGCTGGCCAGGAACCGGCTGAGCCGGCCAGGGGGCTCGGGGCTCCCCATGGGCTCCCAGCGCAGCGAGTCCTGAGACAGACCGGCTAAGGTGGCCAGCGAGCCATCCCCTACGGCCATCTCCACTCCGGAGTCCCGCGAGGCCACCTTGAGAACAGGCACCTGCCTCCTGTACGCTCTCATATCACCGTGTCCCTTCTGGGAGTCCGAGAAGGGGGCAAGAGTAGCCTCGGGGATTCGCCTGTAGGTGCTGGTGATGCCAGGTACCACACAACCACGTGCCAGGGCCTCGTTGGCTCGATCTGCAAGCACAGTCAGTGTTGGGCTGGGCCAGGGCTGCAGGCAGCACTCCCCGTGGGGCAGAGCCTCCTGGGCAGCCAGCCCCCTGGTTGCTCGGGGAGAGGATTCCCCCCCCAAACCTTGACAGCAATGGGGATCCCACTTGAGGCTGCGAGGTAACCATCAAGGTCCTAGGGTTGGCGCTGCCGTGCACCCTCCACCACCCATTAGTGTCCCCAAATTAGGAACAGAAGTGGGGAACAAGGAAAGGCTGGGATCCAACGTGTCCTCCAGCAGTCCCAGAGGGCTTAGATGCAAGAAGGAGGTGGAGGGCACCCTCCAGGAAGAGGATGCTGACCATAACAATAGCTGTCACCAGGTGGGCTTCCCTTAAAGAACTAGCCAAGACTTGGGTCAACGGCCAGTCACTGCCGCGCCAGTGCCTCCAGGGATACCTGCGCCCTGGTGGGACAGCGCACAAATCCTTATGGATCACGCAGGGGCTAGGCGCCAATACGCATACCGCGCGGGGCTCAGAGAAACTGCGGGCTGGGACGGGGCAGGGGATGCAGACGAGCCAGCTCCAGCCAACCAGGAAGGCTCTAAGTCCGGCAGCGGTCCCCGAAGGACTCGGGCTGCCAGGGGCGGCTGGTTCCACGCCCTCAAATCCGGAGCAACTCCTCCGTGCAAGGAGCCCCCAGCCCCAGTCCACTCAGCCCCTCTGAACGGGGAGGTGAGTGGGGGAGGATGAAGAGGCGCCTTGCCCGTGGTGGGTGGGCCACTCACCCCGGCCGTCCAGCGGTTCCACGGCGAAGACGCGCCGCCGCCGGGCCCGCATGGCTTCGGCTCCCGGCCTCCGGGCGCTCAGTCGCCCGCCGAACCCAGCCACGTCCCTCGCAGAGCGCCCGCAGCGGGCGCGGCCCCCGGACACTCCCAGCGGGGGAAGGGAGGGCGGGCCGAGGGAGGGGCGCGCAGGTGCTCGCGCAAGGGCGGGGTGGTCCCGACAGCCAGGCGGAGGAGGCGAGCTGGGCAGCCTCTCCCCTCGCCAAATATCGACAACTAGTACCCGTCCGGGCCCGGTCACCCCGCCCAGCCGCCCCCTCCCCCGGGCTCTTCCTGCAGCAAACTCTCAGGGGCCACGGAGGAAATGGAGCCCCACGTGCCGGCGGTGGGAAGAGAGTGCCGAACCCGGCTCCCTGCGGTGCTGCTGGGGAAAGGAAGGGGATGGGTCACTGCCTCCGGGAAGCTTGTAACGACTAGTGCAGGGCGCACTCCTTGTTCCGGGCTCAATCGGAACCCTTTGGCCTGCTCCTAGCCGGGGGTACCCCAGGGAGGAGCGTGCGGGGAGGGGCCTTCGAGAAGCCCCTGGGATGTCACTGGCACCACCTCCTGGTTTCCCAAGCAGGTAAAGCAACCTGATGGCTGTAAGATGGGCTGGGGGCCTCCAGCTGGCTCCTCCTGGGATACGGACCCAGATGCCCTGCAGCCAGAGGGAAGCTGCGGACGTGCAGACTTGCACCCGGGCCTCGGGTGGGGGAAGGGGCTAGGGCTTTGGGGAGGGGGAGCAGGAGGGGCGGGGAGAGACTGTTCCTAAGGGAAAGCTGACGCTCCACCTCCCCCACCCTGCAGCCTCAGGGAACCCCCAGAGCGAACACACCCCTCCCCGGCGTCCAAAGCCATTTTAAAACTTACAACTTTCTAAGGACCGGAAGGGGAAACTGTAAGCCCCTTTCCCCTTGGGGGGGCAGGCTGAGCGCCAAGGGCCTGAGCTGCAACTTGTTTCCCACCCTACTGCCCAGCTAGGACCTCTCCCCTCCCCCCACCCGAAGCCAGGCAGGAAATGCCTTGCACCAGTCCAAGGTTGGGGGGTGGGGTGGGGAGTGAGCGTCTCACCCCCTAGGCACAGCCGTGCTAGTACCACCCCAGGTCTGCCCTCTCTTGCCAGCCAGAGGGAGGGTGTGGAGGTCAAGGGCCCGTGCCCATCTGGAGAATGTGGAGCGGGATTCCAAGCGATCTCTGCGGTGACTCTGGAACAGGAATGAATCCAGAAACAGGAAGCCAGGGCCGGGAGGAATGCAGTGTCTCAGCATAAGCTGTGTGTGTGTGTGTCCCAGAGAGGACTCCCACACACACCCCAGCTTCTCCCCTCCTGACTCTGGCAGCCGTGGCCAATCCTTGACCCAGCAGAGGGCTCTGTGGCCCAGCATGACCTGCCACCGGCACCACCTCTGAGTGATACGGGAGGAATGGGAGGGGCTGTGCACCTGACCTAGAGGGCAGCTGCCACAGGCTGCAGACACAGACGGCGCAGAGGCCTCCATGTCCCTGCTGCTGGGGCCAGCCAGGCCCAGCAGCCCCACCACGGGGAAGTCCCAGCTGCAGGAAGCAGGTTTCCTGCGAGCTCAGCATGGAGCTTGACCCTGGGGGAGGAGGGGCACAGCTAGGAGGAAGTGCGCCAGGGGCCGGCAGGAGTTGGGCCTTAGCCGCAGACTGCCGCAGAGTGAGGAGGGTGAGCCACAGACCCCAGAGGAGGCAGGCCCTGGCCCGTCACCCCACTGCTCATCCTCACCTTCAGCCTAGCACACAGAGCACGAGCCGAGAGCATGAAGTGAGCACCTAAAAACGCCCCAGCAGGGGCTGCTACAGTAGCACAACAGGCTAATCCTCCACCTGTGGCATCAGCATCCCATATGGGGCACCAGTTCTAGTCCCAGCTGCTCCACTTTGGATCCAGCTCTCTGCTAATGGCCTGGGAAAGAACATGGCTCAAGGCTTTGGGCCCCTGCACCCACACGGGAGACCTGGAAGAAGCTGCTGGCTCCTGGCTTCGGATCAGCTCAGCTCTGGCCATTGTAGCCACTTGGGGAATGAACCAGCAGATGGCAGATCTCTTTATCTCTCCTTCTCTCTGTAAATCTAATGTTCCAATAAAAATAAATCTTTTTTAAAAAGAAACGGTAAGGATCAGAGATGGCTTTTCTCTGACCTCCTCTTCCCAAAACCCCCCATCATGCTGGTTTCACGGGGAGACCACCTTTCTCCCTGACGACAACACTGCCCCCACAATCAGGTGGGGATCCCAGCCATCAGCATCCTCCCGCCCCTTCCAACCTGTCCTCTCTGTTTAAACAGCTAAACGGATCCCCAGGCTTCGAGGGGAAGCTCTCCGGCACCGTGGGAGATGCAGCTGAGCATGAGCCACTTTCCCTTCCTGTCCAAGACCTGGCCACCTTGCCACATGCCTCTCCACTGTTTTCGCATTCCTTGGAACCCCCTTAGCCAGTGCCCTGAGAGCTCCACACATCTGTCAGTCAACACCAGGAAAGCAAGCCAAGTACAATGTTCCATATTGCTGTATTAACCACCAGGTCCCTCCTGAGAAACGCAACCTTATCATCACGTGGACTTCACAGGGTGTACTGAAGACAGCTAAGTGTCTCAGGGGATAGAACCTGGATTCCCCCCATCGGGAGTACAATCTGTTACCAACACACGCTCATCAGATGCACCCGTGAATTAGATACACTGTGTTGGGCCCAGTGCGACGGCTCAGTGGTTAAATTCTCACCTTGCAAGCACCAGGATCCTATATGGGCACCAGTTTGTGTTCCGGCTGCTCCACTTCCTATCTAGCTTCTTGCTTATGGTCTGGGAAAGCAATGGAGGATGGCTCAAAGTCTTGGGAACCCACACCCCACTGGGAGGCCTGGAAGAAGCTCCTGGCTTCAGATCAGTTCAACTCCAGCCATTGCAGCCACTTGGGGAGTGAATCGGCAGATGGAAGATTTCTCTATCTCTCCTTCTCTCCATAAATCTGATCTTCATTTCCAATAAAAATAAATCTTTTTTTTTAAATTCTTTTTAATTATATACACTATCCATCAGAATCCCCCCCACCACAGGCAGCGCCCGACGCTAGATGGCACCAAAGAGGCAACCCCGGCTCCCCAGCCGGCTTGGACGGATTTCAACTCTATAAACATCAAGGCTGGTCCTCAGGCAGCCGTCCAGGCAAAAGGTGAGACAATGACATCAGGGTGGCAATGCTATCGCCAGGTGCCCGAGCAGACAACACAGTCAGCCCGGCCCAGATCCCCTGCAAAGACGGCCAGATTGCACAGAGCTGCCCCAGCAGAGCTGGGCTTTGATCTTCGTTGAAAACAGAGCTGAGCTGCCTCCACAGCCCATCACCCAGCCTGCTGGGGCAGGATGGGCAGGGTGCACTCAGCAGGGACCTCCGCATGCTGGGCTGCTCATGCCAAGATGCCAAGGCACTGCCCCCAGGGACAGCCAGTCTGGCTCTTGTTTCCACCCCGGGCAAGGCCAACTCCCAGGCCTATGTGCTGGCTGACGCGGAGCTGTCCCGGGGGGAGGTAGGTCACCTCCTGCCGCCCCCCACCTCCTGCTTTACTAAACCCCAAAGTAGGGGCAAGCGAGCCTCTTCCATGGGGAGTGGGAAAGGGGGCAAGGGAGCAGAAGGAAGTACAGCGCCTCTTTGGTTCCATGTATGCAAATTTATGGCCTACATATGGCAGAAACTCGACACAGCAAAGGCCCTCCACCCTGGCACCTTGGAGATGCACCTCTCTTCATGTTCTACCCCACGTGGTCCCCGCATGCGCCAGGACATCAGAGGCGGTCGCCGCCTCAGCCTGCCCCCCGCAGGGGACCCTGGTGAGGATGCACCCTCAGTTCCACCATCTCAGGATGCCAGCTGCCACCATCACGCCCCTTCCATGGGGCTCAGCGGCAGCAGCCGACTCAGGCCTGGGAGCCGAGGCTCGGGGCCGGGGAGGACATGGAGTAACGCTGGCGCGCATGCTTCTCACAAAACAGCTCGTCACCCACCCAGAAATGCCCACGCATCTTCAGGTTCAAGCCGCAGTCTGCGCAGCTGTAGCAGCCGGGGTGGCGGTACCGCCCCTCCTGGATTCGCACCGCCTGGTTCCTGAGGAAGAGGGACAGTTCCGGCATGAGGTCATCATGGCCAGGAAGCCCGGGCCCCAGCCCTGACGGTCAGGACCTGGGATGACCACGCAACAGAGGGACTGGCACCAGGGCAAAGTAGGTTAAACCCCCACCTGCAGTGACAGAATTTCATAAAGCCCAGCTCTGGCTATTTGGGCCATTTGCCAGAGAGAACCAGCAGAAGCAAGATCTCTATATATAGTTTTGCCTTTCCAATGAATCAACACATCTTTAAAATCTTTTTAAATGAGCAAAGCAAAGCTGAAGCCCAGAGCACCAGGAGATCTGAGACCTGCAATACTGCATATTTGGAAATGTCTGGGCTGGAAGGAGGGAGAGTCAGAGAATGTGCTTGCAGGATGATGCCACCCACCGAGAAACAGGAAATGGAACCGCCTCTAGACAAGCCAGCCCGTTCCCGGCGGGTGAGCGAGGGGAGGCGCCTGGTCCCGCACACAGCCCCACAGGACGGCAACATTTCTGAGCCCTCCAGGGAGAGGGAAGGACGAGGACGACAAATAACCTGCAGCAAAGCCAGGAGCAGCACTGCCCTCTCTGCGCCCCGACTGCCCACCTGCAGCTAGACCCACCCCTGCTGTGGGTGCCCCGACCCCAACTTACGCGATAGTGATGCCACACTTCTCGCACGTGTGGAGCTTGGGTGGAGTGGTCAGGGCCCGGGCTGTGGGCAGGGAGGACTGAGGACTCAGCGAGCTGGGCAGGGAGACAGGTGTGCCACCTGGGAGGGGACAGACACACACAGACACAGGAGAGCTGACCCGCCTGCCACAGTGACAGGGCATTGGCTCACGCCAGCGGCAGAATGGGGAAGGAGAAGGGCGGACGACCGTGGCCTCGGCTGAGGCTGGCTGGGGCCACGGAGCCCAGTCCAAGGCCAAGTTCGGGCTTCTCAGAGAGCACATGTGCCTGGCCCAGGGTGTGGCAGGCAAAGCACCACCAGGCCCCAATAGCACCACAGCCCTCTGCATGGCTTGCAAGGAGTCCTTGCGCGTGCCACGGTTTCTGGGCTGGGGAGTGACCCGGAAGCACAGATGACCAGCAGTATGACCCCTGCCCACAACCCAGGACGCAGACGTGCCCACCGCCAAGTCACCACCTTCCTGCACTCCCCTGGGAGTGCTTGGTCAAGATTTACCCAATCCTATTCCCCATAAAGGCCCCGGAAGCTGAATAGAGCCAGGCAAAGTGGAGATTGGTCATTTTGCCACGCCAGACTATCTCCTACTTGTCCCAAGGTCTCCCTTCTCCTGCTGCCCTAAACAGAGTGGGCTACGAGCCCCTGTGGGTGGCATCCACTTCCTGGGGAGCTGGCATAGGGAGGCCTTTGTGTCACAGCCTCGGGGCGGCTACAGGCTGGAGCCCACATTGGAGCCCCTCGCACACTTCCAACCCATCTAACAGATGATGGGTGCTTATCAAACAGCCTAGTGAGCGCCCACGTGGTCTGGGCCACTCAACTTGGCACTCAGTCCCGCCTGGCTGTCTCCAGGATTGCCCGCGTGGGGCCATGTCCCCACGGCCACACCCAGGAGCCCTCTGGCTGCTCGCCTCCACATTCCAAAAGCTCTCCCAAACACCATGTTCCCGCCACCCCCACCCACAAGCCCTCCCTGGAAACCCAGCCCTGCTCTCCCCGCCTCCCTCTCCCTGTACCCCCTTGGTTCAACTTCCTTGTCCCAGTAGGACCTGCTCCCTACTTGGGGGTGCACACCTGGCCAGCCCTACCACATGAAAAGCACCCATGGGTGCAAGGGTCTGGAGCACCCGCAGGGACACCCCCCCACACCCCAACCTTGTCTTAAACGTTAAGCAGCTGGCTGTGGGGTGGGGGGGTGCATCTCACCTCTCTCCTCAGCCTCCAGCGCTTCCTGCAGGAGCCGAAAGGAGCTGGATTGCCGGGGTGCCGAGCGCGACTCCCGGTTCTCCTGAAGCATCTTGAAAACTTCGGAGTCTTCTTCCAGGAGGTGGCTTGCCCCTCCGGAGTCTGAGCTGTGGGATGGGAGGGTGGGAGGACAGGAGGACGGAGGGAGTTTAAGACAGGCGTGCGGGCAGGGCAGCTGAATACCCCTGGGCTCCCTGTCCCGTCCCCAGCGCCCTCCAGGGCCGGCCAGTACCTGAACCTGGGGCTGGAGGAACGGAGCCCCGGGGAAGGAGGCAGCACCAGCACCGCGGAGTCGCCAGCGCGGCCCTGGCCAGCCTGCAGGGAGGAGAGCAAGCGGGGAGGAGTCAGCGGCTGGCCGCAACCTTGGACCCAGGCCCGCCTGCGGGGCCCCCAAGCTCGGCTGTTCCCAGGCCCGACAGCAGGGGGCTCTCGGTCCTTGTGTGCAGCAAGGAGGGATGCCCGGCAGCCTCATTGGGGTTCTGCTGGGGAACTGGGCAAGGGGTGAAAGCAGGCACAGGGCGCGGAGTCAGTTGCTAATGATCCTGCTGTCCGCCTGTCTGGACGCCTGGTTGTGTGTTTCGGAAGACAATGGATAGGTCTCCTTGCATGGGTTCCCAGGAAGTCACATGGTCTCAATTTTGAAATGCAATGGATGGTTTTTGGGGGTAGTGTGAAAGAAAATGTGTATGAGGGCCCGGCGCTGCGACCTAGTGGCTATAGGCCTTGCCTTGAATGCTCTGGGATCCCATATGGGCGCCAGTTCTAATCCCGGTAGCCCCACTTCCTATCCAGCTCCCTGCTTGTGGCCTGGGAAAGCAGTCGAGGACGGCACAAAGCCTTGGGACCCTGCACCTGCATGGGAGACCTGGAGGAGGTTCCTGACACCTGGCTTTGGATCAGCGCAGCACCAGCAGTTGTGATTGCTTGGGGACTGAATCATCAGATGGAAGATCTTCCTCTCTGTCTCTCCTCTTCTCTGTAAATATCTGACTTTGCAATAAAAATAAATCTTTCAAAAAAAAAAAAACTCGTCATCCATGTCTGACAAGGGGACAGAAAATGATACTGGTGGCAGTGGTTTTAAAAAAAAGAACAAAATGTGCATGGATTTCAAGCTAAAAGGGAAAACCCAAGAGGTTTAAGCTGCAGTCCTGGCGAGGTGCAGGGAGGAGCCGGGCCAGGCACAACGGCCAGAGCTCATCTGTGGCTAAACCGGAGGAGTGTTTTTCCCTCTGGCGGTCTCTGGTTCCTTCCCCACAAGCCTTGCTTGCAGACCAGAAGTGGAAGCTTCCTGGAGTTAGGAATTTCTGCTTTTCTGCTCCCGCAGCCCCCAGGGGCTAGAAGGGCGCCCGACGTGAAGCAGCTGCTGGGCGATAAGCGCTTGTGGAAGGAACGTCCAGTGCCTTGGGACCAGAGAAGAGAACTTGGCACATCTAGTCCACCCGTGAGGCCCGAGGGAGAGATGTGTGTCCAAGGTGGGCAGCTCCAGGTCCCCCGTCGACGGGGTCAGTTAAATGCAGCCAGTCGTGTACTGGGGCCAGCCACAAACACACCACTCACTGTGTTTTTTAAACACAGTGGGACCAGTGCTGTGGCGTAGTAGTCCAAGTCACTGCTTGTGGCACCAGCATCCCACATGGGCACCAGTTCAAGTCCTGGCTGCTCCACTTCTAATACAGCTCCCTGGTTAAGGCGCCCAGCAAAGCAGTGGAGGGTGGCCAAGTGCTTGAGCCCCAGGACCCCTGCGGGAGACAGAAAGAGGCTCCCTGGCCCCCAGATCAGCTCAGCTCTGGCCTTCGCAGCCATGCGGGGAGTGACCCAGCAGATGGAAGATCTCCCCTCCCTCGGCCTCTCCTTCTCTCTGTAACTCTTTCTAATAAAAATCAATCTCTGGGGGAAGAAAAAAAAAATGACGCAGGTTGCGCCTCCATACCCGTGTCTCAATTCCAGACACCCAACCCTGAGGAGCGACGGTTCTAGAATGCTGTTGCTGCCGACATCAGACCTGAATCCACACCCTGCCCCCGACATCCATCCAAACTCCTGATTAAGCGTTCTCAACAGCCCCCCCATATCCGCCGCGCCCTAGCCCACAAAGCCTCCTGCTTCGTGAATTGTTCCAAAATGTTTCACACATCTGTCTTATCTTGCATTCTTTTGCAGACAGGGCACCCATGGGGTCCCTCTCTCCCTCCCTCTCTCTGCCCAGGGCACCCAACTGGCCACTGGGCAGGCCCCCAGCACAGAGCCCCTCCAGACCCTGCCCAGCTTCTAGTACCTTCCCTCCCCTCAACACCCCGCCACCCCCACAGGCCCTGCCTTCTGGAATGTACAGTACATCCGAGTGGGAGTCCAGCAGCTGGGTCCTCTCCTGCTCACCCTGTCCCTTCGGAAGCCCGACCTACCCCCCTCCACCCCCACTCCCCTCAGCCATGCTGCCCCCCCAGCAGCTGTGGGCCTCCTGGCTCTCTCTCCACCCCACCCCTGCCTGCCCTCCAAGCAAGAGAAGGGGGCAGGGAGGGTAGACAGAGAACAAGCTAATTGGGGCTGAAGCCGAACCACAGTCCCACTGGGGGTTCCCTGGGCCGAGTCAGGGAAAGGAAGAGGGGGCGGGGAGGGGGGAGGCTGGGAGTCCAGGCAGATACCAGGCCGGGAGCGGGGAGGAATGCGATGGGAAGCCTGCAGCCCAAGAGGGAACCTTCCCAACAACAGCAGCGAAAATATTTCAGTCGCAGCCCAAGAGAAACAAGAGGGAGGGGAGGAGGAGGGTGTGCTGGCCGGGCACAGGCCAAGCAGGGGTGAGGGTAGGGGGCGCTGTCTGTGCACCCCCTTTCCCAGAGGTGCCAGCAGCCCTGGCTCGGGCAGGAGCCCCCAGTGGGAAGGAAAGGTGCTTCTCCACCCCTCCAGGGAGCTTACCTGGCGGCCCCCGTAGGACAGGCGGCCCCCGAAGGATGGGCGCTCCATGGCCAAACTCTGGAAGCTGAAAGGTGGAGAAGGGACGGTGTGTGTGTGCCCGTGTGCAGGGAGGGAGGGACTTCACCAGCCTACCCAGAGGAGGGAGGAAGGAAGGAAGGAAGGAAGGAGGAAGGGGAGCCGTGGGGTCCCCCAAACATAGCCTGAGAGAGAGGGGTTTTAAGGAGCCACACGCATGCACGCACCTGCGGCTGCTCACGGCCTCCGCTGCCAGGGTGTGCGGGCTGGTGGGGGACGGCGAGGAGAAAGGGCTGCCTGCCCGGGGGCTGAGGGAGGCAGGGCTGGAGCAGGTGGACTTCAAGGAGGACTGGCTGCCGGTCTGTGTCCTCAGGGAGCCCTGCAGAGAGAGGGGCCTCAGGGGAACAGGTTCCTTCTCCTGTCCGTGGTCCCTGCCCCTGGTGCTGGGCTCTCCCCTGGCTGCAAGGCATGGACTTACCTGGAAGCGAGATGCCGACACTTCCAAGGAGCCATCCCCATTGGCCTGCCTGCTGGAGGCAATCTGAGACCTACACGGGGAGAGGAAGGGGGTGGGGTGTCACAAGGGTCCAGCCCCTCTCCCCGCAGCCGCACCTTTAAACGCAAGCCTGGATTCACCTGCTTGCCATCTCCCCCCTCCCCCCCCGCCAGCTGCATTTATTTTTTATTTGAAAGGCACAGTTACAGAAAAAAGGAGAGCTCCTCCATCTGCTGGTTCACGCCCCAGATGGCTGCAACAGACGGGCTGGCCTGAAGTCGAAGATCTGGAACCTCTCCCGGGTCTTCCACGTGGGTGCAGGATCCCAAGGCCTTGAGCCATCCTGCGCTGCTTGCCCAGGCTAGACCCAGGTGGTCAACTTTTAAATGCCAGATGCCAAACCAACCAACCTCCATGTACAACAGTCCCCATAGTGTCATATTTAAAAGAACAAGCAAGGGTCTGGCATCGTGACTTGGCATATTAAGCCTCTGTCTGCGGTGCCAGCATCCCAAATGGGCACTGGTTTGTGTCCTGGCTGCTCTACTTCCCATCCAGCTCCCTGCGTCTGCGAAAGCAATGAAAGATGGCTCAAGTCTTTGGGACTCTGTACCCACATGGGAGACCTGAAAGAAGCTCCTGGCTTCAGCTTTGGGCCTACGGGACCTGCCCAGCTCTAGCTGTTGCAGTCATTTGGGGAGTGAATCAGCAGATGGAAGACCTCTTTGTCTTTCCTCCTCTCTCTGTACCCCTGCCTTTCAAATAAATCTTTGAATGGGGGACTTGGCTCCAGGCAGGAGGGAAAGCAGACATTTCACAAGCAGCTCCATAGCTCCCGTGCCTTCAGAAACTCTTTCCCTCCACTTCATCTGGACCTGGCCCCTGGGCCAGCGTCACCCCATACATCAGCTATGGGGAAGACAGCTGGCTGGGGAGGAACAGCCTTCTGGGTTCCAGCCCATGGGAGACTGGCACCCCGCCAGGGGAGCCAGCGGTCCCAAGTCCTAAGGCCCCCAGTGGTGGCCTCTCTGGAGATAACTGACCCCTACACCCCGCCCACTCCCTGCCCCCAACCTGTCCAGAGTTGGCTTCCGGCTTCTGAGTGGGGACAAGAGAGAGGTGAGAAGGGGGAACCCTGCCTATGGAAAAAAAAAAAGACAGGAGGGGAGCTTTGGCCAGGGGAGGGGCAGGTGTCCAGGCTGCCTCCCTGAAGCTCCCTGAAGATTCTGGTCCCATTCCCAGATGCCAGGAGGTACCCCCTGTCCCTTCTAAAGACTCAGGGGCCACGGTGGCCTAGTGAGAGCAGAAGGCAGAACAGCCGAGTGGCACACGGGGCAGGAGACGCAGGGCCCAGCGTGGTGGGCAGCCTGGTGGAGGAGGCAAGGGCAGAAGCCCTGACTCAGGCTCTAGGACCGGCCCAGAGGGCTCTCCTGACATGGGGATCTCCCTGCATTGCTGCTCTGTGACTCACTGCGGGGCCTCACCCCCTCCACCTGCTGCACCCCAAGATCCCGCAAGCCTGGGAGTCAGCCGGTATCAGCAGCCAGGTCAGGAGCTGGGGGGGAGGGAGCCCCTATGCCACCTTACCCCCAGGGATACAAAGCCACCCACCTTGGAGGCCAAGGGTCCCAGAAGCCCAGCCTCAGGCCCACCTCTCCTGAAGTCTCCCCTCTTCAGCCCACTCCATGCCCACGCCCTGTACCCTGTACACTCTGGGGAACCAGTCAGACCCGGGCTGCCAGGTGGCTGTGCCAGCTCTCCCTGCCCAGCACACAGTGGCTGCCTGCCCAGCCCCAGCGCCCACCACTTCACCCACTGCCTAGCCAAGGACAAGAATCTGGTAGCTGGACCGGCCTCCCTCTCCCCTGCAGTGGAGGGTCCTGGGGGCTTGTTTGCTCTGACACCGTGGAGTCAGAGGACCCAGGAAGGCAGGCCATGGGGGTGGAGCTCTGGAGCCGAAGGCGCAGGGCCTGCGGGAGGACCTACCGGTCCAGCTGCAGCCGCAGGGGTGAGGGACTCTGGCGGATTTTGCTCTGGGCCTCCGCGTGAAGCATGCTGTCTGCCTTCTCCCCATTGATGGCCACGATGACGTCACCAGGCCGGAGGTCAGCAGCCTGGGCCTTGCTGTGTTCAGTCACCTGCCAGGGATGCATTTGAAGCATCTCTGCTCAGAAAGTGGTACCCTCAGCTGGTCCCAGCAGAGGCAGAGGGAGGAAGGGAAAGCTGCTACAGGAGGGCTTCCTGTCTCTGCTCCCCGCCCCTACTTCCCAAACAAGACACTCCCCTCACACACCCCATGGACGCTCCTATCCTGGCCACCTCCAACAAGGTGGAATTTTAGGAAATACATGCAATCCGCACCCGCCTCCCTGCGCGAAAGTTCCTGCAAACACTCCCAGCTCTGAGGTCCAGGTGTGGGGAGTGGAGGGGGCCGAGGCCAGAACTCTCGGGGGCTCTCGTTGCTGCCAGTAGGTGCAAGCCCACACCCTTTCCGTCCCACAGGGCCCAGCCAGCAGCAGCAGCTCCCAGCCCAAAAGGGCTTCTTGCAGGGCTCACAGGGCATGTCCTGACTCTTGGGGAGGCCCCTTTGCCACCTCTTTCTCCTGCAACCGAGCCTTACCCTGGTCACCACGATGGGCATGTGGAAATCCCGGCCTCCGGAAATGCGGAAGCCCCAGGGTGCTGGTCCCACCACATCCACAGTTAGCGCCATACCTGAGACCTGAGGGAAAGGAGAGCAGGCAGGTGAGGCCCAGCACCCCCGGGCCCACCTGAAAAAAAAAACTCTGCCAGGAGGAAGGAGGCAGGTCCCCAGAGTCACTCATCTGACACGTCACGGAGGAAATGACGCTGTCCCCTCCCTCACCCAGTTCCACTTCCCCATCACCCCACAAACACACACACACACACACACTCACACACTCACACACAAAGTTCCCCTTCCCCGCAGTCTCCAGCCAGAGGCTCCCTGGCCGCGGTGGCTGTGCAGCCTGCAGGTGAGGGGGGATGTGCGGGGAGTGGGATGTGCAGCAGCTGACAGGTGGCTGGCTTGCTGGAGAGGCCGGCGCCACCTCCTTCTGCCCTTCCTCCACCTCCACCACCTCCTCCACCACCAGGCCCAAGAAGTCCCCACAAGTATTTGCTTCCGGTCCTCAAAACCCACAGCACAAGGTACTTCCTCCCGCTCTGGGGGGTGAAGGGGGAGGGCAGATGTGGGCCCTGGGGACAGCAGGCACAGCAGGCATAGCACAAAAGGGGGTGGGGGGCCACTGCAGACTATGCCAGGAACGGACAGGATCCTCACAAGGTCCTCCTGGCTGCCTACCAATGACCCCCCAGCCCACCTCCACCTCCACCGTGCAGCTCAGAATGGGCAGGATCAGGCCCTTCCGCCTCCCCCAGGGCCAGCTGGACCCTGTGGAGTCCCAGCTGGAAGTCCAAGGCTCTTGGGGCCAAACCGGGCACACCCAGCCCCTGGGGCTGGCCAATAGGATAAATGGGCCCCAAGGCAGCTGAGGGATGGGGTGGGTTGGGGGGAGTGGTGCAGCAGCCCCCACCCCCCCCAACCACCCTCTCTGCAGGCCAAGGGAGTATCCTTCCAGAACAACCTTGTAGGATTTCCTGAGCCTGCAGCTCTGGAGCCAGGAGCCAACCCTGGCAGGAAGCTGCCCTGGCAGGCTGGGCACCACCCAGCCCAGCACCCATCCCTGGGCTGTCCTATGGGGAGGTCCAAGCCAGGTTTAGATCTGCCAAGTCTTTCAGAGAACATCAGGGTCCGGATGCAGATGGGGAGAAGCGGCTCCCAGTAGCAGGTCCGTCTCCCCACCCCCTGCAGCTGGCTTCCACTCTTAACCTACCCTGACCCCAGTCAGCCCCCAGGGCCCCCGCAGGCTCTCCCTGGCCTCCCCGCCAGGAGCCCCTGGCAGCTGAATTTCCCGGACCTTTGAGCCGGCCCCGTGGACTCCGCGCCGCAGTGACCGGGGGAGGTGTCCAGCCCGTCGGCCCGGCTCTCCCAGTTTGGGAAGCCTTCCCGGCTCCAAGACCAGAGAAGCACCTCGGATGGAGGGAGACCCTCACCTACCACCCCTACCCCAGTCCGCGGGATAGAGGGTGCCATAGCCCGAGCCTGGCTGGAGGGAAAGAAGCGAAGCGAGATCCTCCTCCGGGACCCCGGGTGCCGGGAAGGGCGCGCAGGTGGGCGTGCGCTCACCTGGTTGCGGCTCACCTGTGGGGCTGGGCGGCCCGGGAGGCAAGAGCAGGAGGGAGGGAGGAAGGGGTCAGGAGACACAGCGCCGCTGCCGCCGTCTGCGCGGCTCTGGGGAGCGCCCGCCCGGGGCTGCGGGACCTGCCTCCGCCCATGTGATCCCGGGGCCGCCCTTGCCGCCGCCCCTGGCCCGGGAAGCCGCCGCCTCCGCGCGGCCGAGCTGCGGCGCAGCCACCTGGTTCAACGCCACCCCCGCCCCCGAGGCTCCGGAGGGTCCTTAAAGCCCCCGAGGTGCCCGCATCCTTCCCGACCTCTCCCGGAGCGCTCAGCCTGGACACCCGCAAACCCGGCCGAGAAGTGTCTGCGGGAGCGCCGCCTCGCTGGCGGGCAGCAGGGCGCGTGGTGGTGGACGGGGGAAGCGCTGCGTGTCTTTCCCGGCCTGGGACGCTCGCCCTCTGCTCCTGGCTGGCGCGCCCCATCTGATGCCTTCACCCTAGCTTCTCCACCCCTTGCCGGCTCCAACAGCCCCGGGCTCCAGGGATCAGGAGGGCCAGCCAAGGAAGGGGCCTCAGGTGGTAGATCAGGAAGGAGGTGGTGGACTGGCCCATACCTGGCAACCTTCACCCCGGGGAGGCCCGTGTGGCCTCCTGGGTCTCCCGCTCAGCTCCCGGTGTCAGGCGGATCTGATTTCAGGGGAGCACAGGTGTGGGCACAGCTGTAACTCAGCTGCTTCACGTGTGACTCATCGGCTCCAAACCTTCTCCTGACCTGTGCCTCGCTCTCCCTGCCCTCCCAGCCCGGCCCGCCTCCCGCACAGCCTCTGTCCTGGGTGTGTAAACCACTCTCCCTGGAACTCCTAGTCCCCCGTCTCCTCCGTGGCCGCTTTGCCTGATGCACCTGTTCAACTTCCCTAACTAGATGGGAAAGCCCTTCGTGGGGAGCAGCAAGGTGCAGGGGGAGGTGGCTTACCTGCCATGCCGGTGCGAGTCGGAGGCAGCTTGCTCTACTTTCTGGTGCCTCAGTTTCCCCATGTGTCAGAGGGGCCCTTACATGCCTGCACCTCCTGGTTGTGCACTAGGAGCCCCGACTGCACTCCCGCAGAGAAGGGGGAGAGGGAGGGGACGTCTGTCTTGTCATCCCCCGTTGTATTTCATAGACGTTTCACGCAGAACCCAGGCAGTGTGCCAGGCTCTGGGAGTGGAGCAGGAAGCCCAACTTCTTCCTTCCTCCGTTGCCTTGATTTCTGGAAAAATCTGGGGGGTCAGGCTGCAGAGCTCTGTGCTCTTGTGGGTGGTGTACGGGTGGGGGGTCACTGACCTAGGGTCACCAGGTCAGCCAAGCTGGGGCATGACTCTGCAGCGCGCAGGGCATGCTGCCAGGTTGGAGGCCACCGTGTCCCGGCTGAGTCACTCAGCTCACCTCGCATGGGGTGAGCCGTGCCCTGGGTTCTCCTCTGCCCTCCCAGCCTTCCTGACAGGCGTGGTCATCTTCTAGACAGGAGAGCACCCAGTGGGTGTACATTCAGTTTCTGTTCCAGAGTGGGGAAGCCTCAATCCTGCTACATTTTATATGAGGACACTGGGGAATGTGAAAGGAGTGAGAGGGGACACCTCATCCAGAGGCCCAGTGTGGGTCCAGCACGGTAGCCTACCAGCTAAAGTCCTCACCTTGCAGACACTGGGATCCCATGTGGGCGCTGGTTCTAATCCCAGCAGCCTGGCTTCCCATCCAGCTCCCTGCTTGTGGCCGGGAAAAACAGTCAAGGATGGTCCAAAGCCTTGGGATCCTGCACCTGCATGGGAGACCCGGAAGAAGCTCCTGGCTTCAGATCGCACAGCTCCAGCCGTTGTGGCCACTAGGGGAGTGAATCATCGGATGGAAGAGCTTTCTGTCTCTCCTCCTCTCTGTATATCAGACTTTTCAATAAGACTAAAATAAATCTTAAAAAAAAAAAAAAGGTTCAGCATGGAGCGGCCCGGAGAGGACGCCAAGGACAGGAGGAGGTGCACGAAGGAGGCTAGGTGGCTGTGTTGTTTTCATTCTGCAAGTTGCTTAATCCAGTGCGACTCCCTGGCCACTCCCAGGCTCCAGGAACCTGCCAGGGCTCTGCCCCTCCCCTGCGATGGACAGGGCAAGGTCCCTCAGCAGCTACGGGCTAGTCCCACCTACTGGGGTCAGAGTGCCTGAAGTGACAGATTGCCAGGAAGCCAGGCAAGCAGCCCAGCCCTGGGCAGTGCAGGGAAGTTCCTGACCCAGTGTGTGATTGCCCTTCTCCAAGGACCTCCACGCGACAGGAACCTGCCTACCTGCTGGGTTTCCTGCAGGGAGGTGGACACGATGGATGACAGGTCACAGCCAGCCAGCCACCTGGATGTTCTCTTTACAGAGCCACAGCTCTCCTCCTAATGGGGGGTGTCAGCCAGCCAGGCCCAGGCCACCCCATGCCTGCAAAACCCACAGGGCAGCACTCCCGGCTCCAAGTGAGGAAGCCGACAGATGCAGGAGAACCTCAGAGTGGCGCTCTGAAGTGACCCCAGAAGTGCCAGCCTTGGCCAGCAGCCTACAGCAGCAGCCTAGGAAGGGTAACAGCCCAAGGCCACGGCCAGATCCCCTCCCCACCCACGCCCACCCCTCCCCACAGCCAGCCCCCACCCCACCTCTGGCTCCTCCCCCATAGCCCGGACCCCTGGCCTCCCCATCCACACACCCCCCTCCGGCTCCTCCCACAGCCAGGCCTTGCCCAGGTGCGTGCTGTGTCTGCTCCTGGTCCCTGGGGGCTGAGATCTTCACAAGCGATAGCACCCCTTCTGATACACACATCTGCACACACAAATACACCTACAAATAGCTATATGCACACACATACACACACAAAACCGCCCATTCCACCTGCTTGTCCACGCAGAGAATTCCCAGGCCTTTCCAAGCCCGAGCCCTCTCCTACTTTTTCCCAAGGAACAAGACCTGGAGGCAAGGTCCCTGGAATCCTGATTTATTGTCCATTCTCTTCCAGAGGGCACCTGGACACGGGGCGGGACAGCGGAGAGGCAGGAAGGCAGCCAAAGCCGGTGTCTCCCTGTGGGACCCCTGGGCTGCCCCTCCTCCCCCACCGGGCGTCACAGCAGAGGGTGTGTGAGGGGCTCAGGCAGGGGCGTGGGACAGCCTCTGCCTTCCACCTGCCATTCCCCTGGCTCCGCTGGAGGCTGGAGAGGACGGGATCCCGCCCAAGGCAGAGGTGGCTTTTGGTCTCCACTAGGCTGGGAAGCTGGCTCTGGTTAGCGGGACCCCCACGGGGCAGAGCTGGGTGCCCCGCCCTGCTGGAAGCAGCACTACGGGGGGTCTGGGACACACGGGGTCTGGTCTCAATAAGGCCTGGAAACAGTCTCCACTTCAAAGCAGACCTCTGTATTTGAGCGTCGGGTGGGCGAGGGGGCTCTGAGGGAAGGGCTGGGGGGCATTGTACGCAGAGGCCGGGAGGGAGCTCGGGTCCTGGGGGGAGATGAGGGCTCCTCACTCCCACCTGTAAGTGCTACTCTGCCCACCCCGTCCCCCCCCATCCTGGCTGGCTCCAGGCTGCCATGGGGACTGCTCACACCGGAGCTACGTAATTTCCAGGAAACGTCCCAAACTTCTGAGTCCTGCGGGAGACACCTGTGAGAGAGGAGAGACACAGGACGCTGGCAGCGTGGTGCAGCACGCTAAGCCTCCACCTGCAGTGCTAGCACCCCAGGAGGTCACTGGTTCGAGTCTTGGTTGCTCCGCTTCTGATCCAGCTGCTTGTGAATGTGTCTGGGAAAACAGCTCAGGTTGACCCAAGTGTTTGGGCCCCTGCACCCACATGGGGGAGACCTGGAGGAAGCTCCTGGCTCCCTCTTGGGCTGACTGTCATAGCCATTTGAGGATGGAAATATCTCTAAGTTCCTCCTCTCTAACTTTGACATTTAAGTAATACATTAAAAAATAA